TTCTTCTCCGTTCTCTCTTCTTATTGTTCTCCCTTTCTTTCCATGTGAGTAATCTCCGTGTCATCTTCACTAATTTCTTACTTTTCTCTCTCTTTCAAGTTCCAACCTTGGGAGAAGAAGATGCAAAAAATATGTGGAGTCCCAATAGAGACACGCATGAGACCAAGTCTATTTCTCACGAAAATATTGCTTTACTCTATGGTTGAAGTTGGGAAAGTTTTAGGCTTTCGCAACGTTGCTTTATTAGATTCTTCCTATGTTTCTCACCCTGTCTTTCTCTTTTGCTTTCACACTTGGTTGAATACAAGTAATCTGAAGTGATCTAAACCCAAAAAAAGAATACTAGTATTGATGATAGCCTAATCAAGGTTGGAAAACATGAAACTGCCCTGCCTTGTCACGTGGTGGATTGGTTTTTTGTTAAGGATTTTTTATTGCATGTTTTGTGTTTTTAATTTTTGGTTCGTGGAAAAAAGGAAATGTGCAGTTTGGTGAATCTATGGCATATTGAAATGCCCGAACAAGTAAGACCCTATTCCTGTAGTTAGAGATTTACTGGTAATGTGCAGTGTTGCAAAAGACTATTGATGGCCTTCGTTTATGCCCCTGTGGGTAGGTTGTTTATGTTCGATGAATATGGTTTTTGTTGCTGAGCCGATGTATCCATTTGGTGTTGTGTTTGCGGTATATCGAAATTGCTGTCCACTTTGTTATAACTCCATATACATGCTTGGTTTGTATTGGTGTTAGTATGATATGGGGAGTGGATTGATGTTGAGATGGGTTGAAGATTGATGATGTTTTGGTGTTATGTACTGTTATGATGCCATATTTTAGTAGGTTTAGTTATTCTGGTTGCTACTGCAAGTTGGTTTCATTCCATTGCCGCTGTGTTTGCTTTACATCAATTTAGTTGTGCTGTTTTAGTTGATATGCTACTGTTTTAATTTGATAATAGAAAAAATCCTTTTATTTTCTAACGCTAACATTTACTCATTGTTGTACCACAGATGTCTGATTCGTCACTTAAATCAACTGAATTTGAATCAAGTGCCAACACTCCAACCATTGAAAGTACACAAAATCCAGATGTTGTTTTTATTACAGCTGATAACGAAGAAGTAGATGCAGCAACTACAAGCTAGTGTAGAACACGTTGATGCAACCAAGAATGAAGAACTAACTCCATTCACTAGAAGGAAGAGAAAGAATACTTCGGGAGTTTGGGAACATTTCCGGATGGTAAAGTTGCATGATGGAACTGACTTGTATGAATGTAGGCATTGTGGAGAAAAGTTTAAGAAAATGAAATATGGAACCACCACACCGTTGCATAGGCATATTGGTGATTGTCCAAAGTTGAAAGTGGTTAACAGATGTCAATTAAGTTTAAAAGTGTAGCCTGGCAAATCAGATTCTTCATCTATGGTTCGAAATTGGAAGTTTGACAATGCAAATATGAGAGAGGTTATGTAACATCCTCAATACCGGGTTAGTGACCAAATTATAAAGTTTCAGAAATTGGTGATTAAAGTAGGATAATTGAATAGTGCAATGATTTATTGGAAATATGATGAAGGTTATTCAGTAATTATTAAAGGAAATAAAGGGTAAATTGGTCATTTGACCAGAAAGATTTTTTATCTTTCTTTTAAGGGTTATAAAACACGTGGGAAATGAGATAATTATCCAAAGTCTTCTTCTCCAGCTTCTTCTTCTCCCCGTAAGCCTCATTTAAAGGTGAGTTTAATTTCAGCTATTTAATTCTTGGATTTATAAGTTGATTTTGATTCTTGGAGTATTATATAAGCTTAAGGAAAGCTTATATAAGCTTAAAACATCAAGAAGAGAGAATTAGAAAGGAATTTCTATTAAAAGATTAGAAATGAACTTTTGATATAGAAAGGTTTTTGAAATTCTAAGGATGAATTTGACTTGTCAATGGTTAAATTAAGAGATTTGGAGTGATAGAATTGGATTTAGAACATATAGAAAATTTGGTATGATTCTTGAATCTTATAAAGAAGATAGGATTTTGAGGTTAAAGATGATTTACATGGATATAAGTTGGTTCAAGTTATAGTAGTTGAGTTTAATGTCAAAATAGGGGCTTAAAATAGAAGAATTAAGGGAAGAGTTGATGATTTACGTGCTAAAATGTCAGTTCTGGGCAATGTGCATCGATGCACATTCATTGTGCACCGATGCATCGATGATAAATACCAGAAATTGTTTAAGGTGCATCGATGCACATGCAGTGCATCGATGCATGAATTTAAATAGAAAACATCGAATAGGATTTATGCATCGATGCATAAGGAGTGCATTGATGCATCCCCATTAAATACAAACATCGAATATGATTTATGCATCGATGCATGGTGTAGTGCATCGATGCATACCTTCATTAAAAGATGAAATTGGCTTTTCTTTGAGACTAAGGAGTAATAGTTTCGAATATATCAATCAGTATACTGATAAGTATTAATGTATTATTATGTAGATATAGAATGAAAGCTTGTTCCGGAACAAACTAAGGATTAGGATTGATTCAAACAACGAGGCCCAGGTGAGTGCATACTAGTGATATGTAGTGTTTAATGGAAATAAGACTTGCGATGAGTCTATTTCCTAGAGTAATATGCATGAAGTCATGGACATGATTATGTGTAGTTAAATTATATGTGATTATCTGTATTATATTGATTGTATGTATGCATGACTAAAGATAAGGATATGCTTAGTATATGCTATATGATGTATGTAAGACTTTAATATGTAATAATGGAAGAACATGAAATAAGTTATATGGTAGAGTCATATGAAATGAAATGAACATGAGAGAATAAGATAATCAAGTATAAGGTATATGATATGGTATAAGTAATTATACGAGAAATGTTAGGAGACTCTAAGAGAATAGTATGAATTCGATGGCATAAATAAGGATACATAAGTAATATAGGGAAGATTGATAAATTAAAGGAAACTATGGTTTATGTATTATAGTGAAGAGCTACAAAGTTTTATTAAAGAGTTTTGGGGAAGTCATGAAAAATTGAACTAAATAAATAGATGGTTTATGTGAGTGGAAAAGGAAAATGATATAAAATAAATGGAAATTATTTATAAGATAGTATGAGACTAATTGAACATGTAATATAAACTTTATAAAGGAGTACTTGGGTAAAATCATTATATGATACAATTATAGATTATTACTATACAAATTATATTAAAATATGATATATGAGAATATGAGTAAGTTTATAGGATATTGATAGGTCATATAAGAATATTTAAATGTATGCTGATATGAAAAAGGGAATACAAAGAAATGGAGCATAAGGTAGATAATATGATATCAGCTATTATATATCTATATGATATATGTCATCAGATAATATGAAAGGACTCTGAAAATTGATATAAGCTACGTGAAAGTGTTCTAGGTGTTTCTATATGTTATATGAAGTATATGATGTGAACAAGATATGATAAGTATGTTTACATGAATAAATGTGATTGGGTGAGAAATGATAGACATTATATGAAAACATGATATATGTGACATGTGAATTATATGGAAATGATCTACGTGTAAGTGAACTATGTGACTATGTGATATATGAAAAGAAGCTATGTGATATGTGATATGTGAAAGTGAATTACAAGTTTATGTGAATATTTGAAATGAAATAAATGATAACGCCCATGTTATGTGTCATGAGAGCTAGGGGTATAGTTGGCATGCCAAGAGTCGAGGGTCTACGCGGTCCTTCGGGACATATGTATATTCTTTGGAACATGTGTGAAGTCTTGAAAGACACATACTTGATCCCTAGTATATGTATATGATTCTTAAGGAATAATATGTGGTCCTTATGGACATTGTTATATGGCACTACGGTGCAATTCTACGCGGTCCTTCGGGATATATATATTCTGTGGAACATGTGTGAAGTCTTGAAAGACACATACTTGATCCCTAGTATATGTATGATTCTTAAGGAATAATATGTGGTCCTTATGGACATTATTATATGGCACTACGGTGCAATTCTACGCGGCACTTCGGTGCAATTATACGAGCTGTGGTGATAGCATTAGTGCACAACCTCTATAGACTCACATATCGATAGTTCTCACATATGTACATGGGCTAATCCAGAGATATGAACAAATATATGTTAGTGGTATGATAAATGTTATAGAAATGATATGATGTTGTGTGTGTATAGTGTTGATTGAAAAGGTTAAAGTATGTGATTACATGATAAACTGTTAATGATGAATTATGTGTATGTATGTATTTATTGTAATTAATCTGATATGATTTTATATGATACGAAGAATGCATGGAATTGGTATAACATGATAGAACAGAACATGCATGTATTGATATATCTTATAAAGTGCATTATAAGTTGTTATGCCTCACTAAGTCTTCGACTTAGCGTGTGATTATTTCACACGTAGGTTTCGAGAAGAGTAAAGAGTAATACGGAGCAAGACAGGTCAGTTCTCCTTACCAAATGTCAGATCAGAAAATATATGTACTTGTTATAGAGTGTAGTTGGCATGTAGTCTAAGGATATAAATTGTATGAACTCTGATATATTTTGTAAACGTTTTGAATAAGTTAAATGTTATAAAAGTTTTTAAATTACTCACTATTTTATACGAATAAATATTTGAAAAGTCAATGTGACACTTCGAACTCGTATCCAGGTCGGATACGAGTTGGGGGTGTTACAGGTTATTTCCCACATGATCATGGTTCATGAATTACCTTTTAATTTTTTGGAGTATGGACTGTTTAATGTGGTAATGAAAGAGGCAAATCCAGGATTTAACAAGATCTCACGTGCTTCTGTTAAACAAGATTGTATATCCAGTTATGAGATTGGAAAGAAAAAAGAGTTCAAAAATTATTGGATTCTGTCAAGCGTGTGACCATCACTACAGATATGTGGACATCGAATCAAAACATCCATTACATGGTAGTTACATGCCATTTTGTAGATTCTGATTTCAAGCTTCAAAAACGCATATTAAGTTTTGTTGACGTGCCTCCACCGTATTCTGGAGTATGTATCTATGATTCCCTTTTTAAGTGTCTAAAGGAGTGGAACATTGAGACAAAGGTGGTGACTTTGACAGTGGACAATGCTAAGACTAATGATGTGGTGGCTAGAAAATTGATGGAAAATTTGAATCTTCAGAAGAAACTTGATGTTGGTGGAAAATTATTTCATGTGCGGTGTTGTGCACATATTCTTAATTTGTTAGTTCAGGATGGTCTTGGAGAAATTGAAGACATAATTCATAATGTTCGTGAGAGTTTGAAACATGTCAATGCCTTTTCGGGTCGATTGCATATTTTTAGTGAACTCGCCAAACAACTTTCAATGCCAAAAAAGCACTTGATTTTAGATGTTAGTACCAGGTGGAATACTACATATGCTATGTTGTCTACTGCTTTAGAGTTCAAAGAAGTGTTTGTGAATTATGTCGATCGAGAGTCTACATACACTACTTTACTGAGCGAGGAAGATTGGAAAAAAGTTAAAGAGGTTTGCTCATTCTTGGCACTTTTCAATGAAGTTACAAAAATAATTTCAGGTATAACTTGATTTCTTTTTATTAATTTTTAATACAAAAGAATTTACTACTAATTATTTTTTAATATTATAGGTTCCGAATATCCTACATCCAATTTATTTCTTAGCGAATTGTTTGGGATAAAAGAAGCATTGGATGCAATAGTTTTAGGAGGAAGTGATTACATGGTAGCTATGGCTATGAAGATGAAGAAAAATTTTGACAAGTATTGGGGTACTTGTAACTTGTTAATTTCAATTGGTGCCATTTTAGATCCCAGGTATAAATTTAAGTTGTTTGAATTTTATTTTAATGAATTTATTTGAGTTCTAATTGATGGCATTCTCTTTATCAGGTATAAAATGAAATTGCTTGAGTTTTCTTTCCATACTATTTATTCACATGATGAGGCTTCGAGAGAAATACAAATAGTTCGATGTATTTTATATGAGTTGTACCAAGAATATGTTGAGGCTCATAAAGCAGCAAATGTTGTTTCATCTACTGATGGGAGTCAAAGTGTTAGTATTGGTGGTACTTCTAAGAGTAGTGTTAGCTCCTTATTCAGTCAGTTTGGTAAAGGTATTAAAACTGGCACAACTAAATATGACCAATATATTATAAGTGTCGATACTTTTACATTTGTCAAGTCAGAATTGGACACTTTTTTGGAGGAAGGAGTTTTAATTGGTGATTCTGGTGTATATTTTGATGACTTGGGATGGTGGAAGGAGAACAATATTAAATTTAACATTTGTCAAAAATGGATGCTGATATATTGGCAATTCCGGTCACTACTGTTGCTTCTGAATCTGCTTTCAGTACTGGTGGGAGGGTTATTGATCCGCATCGATCCTCTTTAGGAACTAAGATGGTAGATATGCTTGTTTGTGGAGCTGATTGGTATCGACAATACTATGAGTTGGAGAAAAATAAAAACAAGGTATTTTTATGTTTTAAGTTTTATTGAATTTGGTTTTACAATGACTAATATATTTTTGGTTTTTTGATTTGTTGTAGCAAAACGAAGATATCATACATGTTGAGATTCTTTGAAAATGAGGATGAATGAATTGGTATAACCTCGCTAATTTAGTATATTTTTCATCTTTTGTTATAACTACTTTAATTTAATATAATTTTATTTGTTTGATTTTGATCAGGATGGATGATGAATTAACGACTGATCATGAATGCAAGTTGAATATGTTACGAATATTATTGAAATTGTTTGGATTTCAATAAGATTGTTTTGTTGAACAAATTAACTTTAAGACTTTATTATATTCATATAGCTTACTTATGATTTATGATTGTTTTTTTCGTATTCGAACAAATTAACTCTAAAGTCGTGTGAATCATTTAATATCTTTAAAAGATTGATCGAAATATATGATATCTTCAAACATTTCATCACTGCTAATCAGCTCTTATACTATTATCACTGTAGATTTGGTTGATTTGCATTGTCGACTATTTTTCATGAAAGAACAATGAAAGGTAGGGTCTCCAACGTTTATGTTCGTTTATGTTCGTGTTCATTTATGTTTGTGTTCGTTTATGTTTGTGTACGTTTATGTTCGTTTATTTATTAAATGAACGAACATGAACAAGCTATATTCCTTAATGAACGAACATGAACAAAAAACATTTTGTTCGTTTATGTTCGTGTTCGCTTATTTATTAAATGAACGAACATAAACATACCTCCGTTCGTGTGCGTTCGGTTCGTTTACAGGCCTAATTTTAGTTTTAAAAAGTCTATTTTACTATTACTATTATGGCATAGGGCCACCAAAATTTACAAGACGACTCTGATTACAATGATGGAATTCCCTTTGAAATAATGTTTTTGGGTGAATGATGTAATGCACACGGGCATATTCGACCAACATCGGGTATCAAACGTGTTTTTTAACCTACTGAGAACCCAATCAAGCGAATTAAATGTGGCTACACTAAAACACATTTATTCTGATAGACATCCAATAATTTATGTGTATAAGAGGCTGAAAGTTGTTCAAAGTTGGCTGCACTAAGACGTATACCTTTCTCTGAATGACGTCAGACATCTTAGCACCAAAACTTGACGACCTACTTGAATTAACCAGTTTACTGTCGCCACTCTCTCTAGAGGGTTTGTTAGCTAGCATCTTCCGAAGGAGATGACACCAACGTCATTCTACTAGATTTTGGGATGCATGCAACTTTAATGTACTAGCCATTTTCCTTGAAGGTAAGTCCTTTTACTTTTTGAATATGGGAAGATGAATCATTTGGATCATGCTTGGAAGCATCGCGCGCACGTGCTGGTTTTATTTTTGTATCATTATTAAGTTGTGGTTGGCATTTTTGTTTAAGCTGCAAAGGGAATAAAGATGAATCTCCACTTCGGTGAGGCACTTCCATGAAAGATTTCTTCTTTACCCTTTCTACAGTATGACAAGGTCGAAGCCAGATACTATGTTGTCGTTTTATCTTGGGTTGGACTACTTGTTACTATTTGCCTCCATCATGATCATGATTCCAATATTCAGATTGCTGGTGGTCCATGTGAGAATCTCTCGACACTACAATTTCATATTCCTTCAATTCATCATATTATTGAAGGTATTCATCTACCTTTGTTATCATTAATTTTCATTGTTTTACGCCAATAAAACTTGAATACTCTTATGTTTCTTAACAATTTTTTTATTTTTGGTAAGAATATAAGCACTTTAAGAAAAATCTAAAACTTAGATTTTGATATATCTTAGTAACAATTTATTTTTTCCAACAATCATATAAGCAAAGAAGACCGCTGCATTCGGATTTGCAAACACTCGTACAAATACCTTTTACCTCTCTGTCTCTCAAACTTCCATTTTTTCTATTTTCTCTTTTTATAAAAGACCAAACCCAACTGGGTGGTGGTAGGTGCGGCTGTTACTGTTTAGCTAGCAACCAAAGCAGCTCCCTTTCGTCTTCTAAAGTACCTCTGCTTTCTCCTTCAAGCAAATCACTCTTCCCTTGTCGTCCCTCATAATTTGATGGTATTCTATCTTCTCTCTTACCTTTATAACTCTAATGGCGTTTTTGCTTCTCTTTGCTCAATAATATTAGTTTCTCTCCTATTGTTTCGGTTTTCAGTGATTGGGGTTTTCTTTTTTGCTTTGGATCTGTCTTGGGTTTTCACTTAAAGCTCGTACTTTTTTTTACCCGTGATGGAGATCTGATTCCAGTTAAAATTTTCACTGTTTTAGTGTATCTTTTTTTTTTCTGTCATCTGCTCAATTTTAATGCTAGGTTTCATTTAATCGAGCAACCTCTGCTCCTTGTATGTGCTTTATGATTGATCTTGTTTTATCTATAATGGTTATTTCTCTCTCTCTGAGTGGGCTGCGTAACTTATTTCCTGCTCGTGTAATGGTCGATGGTGCCTTTTGATCTGACACTGAACTAACTGTTTGGCTCATGTGAATTTGCTCCAGCTTTGCTTGATCATTTCTGCCTCTCGGGTGATAGATTTGTTTCTATGTTTGTTATGGCACATTACTAGTATTTGTATTTCAAATGCTTCTAGGATTCTTCTCGCATTATGGCCTCTCGGGTGATAGATTTTTTTTTGTTAGGGTTGCTGTTGTTGGATTTAGAGGGGACAGATATGTTGAGCTTCAAATGGAGATATGGTGCTGTTTGTAATAATTTTGAACTATTTATGTGTGAGTTTGATGAGAGTATTTGAATTCCTTCGTCTCCGCTAATGGCCTCAAAATCTGGTTCCAAAATTCCTCCTAAACAGCAACAGAAGACAAACAAATCTGAGCAGGCTATGCCCGAATGCATTCTCCAATCTGTAGGGACTGCACCAAAACAAGTTATGGCAGAGGCTTGTAAAAAGAAAAGGTCACCGATTCTAGATCAAGATGGTTCTGTTGAATCTTTAACTACGAAATTGGAGTCATGCTCATTTTCATCATGTGCTAAAAAAGCATCAACTGAAGTAGATTCTTCTGTTTGCAAGACTAAAGATTCATTTGAAATCTTAGCTGATCAAGAAAAGAAAACATCAGACTATGTAAGTGTTAAAAACAGCTCAGTATCTGCCAAAGTTAGTGAAGGGACTAGTAGTCTTGCCAAGATAAGTGACCGTCTTGAGAGTGGCAAGAGCAGCATGTGCAGAGGTAGCACAAGTAGTGATGTGAGTGATGAAAGCACATGCAGCAGCTTTAGTAGCATTATCAGCAAGCCTCACAAAGCGAACGACATGAGATGGGAAGCTATCCAGGCTGTCAGAGCAAGAGATGGGATTCTAGGTTTGAGCCATTTTAGACTGTTAAGGAGGTTGGGTTGTGGGGACATTGGGAGTGTCTATTTGTCGGAGTTGAGTGGAACTGAGTGTTATTTTGCAATGAAGGTTATGGACAAAGCATCTTTAGCAAGTCGTAAAAAGCTGCTTCGGGCCCAAACAGAGAGAGAGATACTGCAATCTCTTGATCATCCCTTCCTTCCTACACTTTACACACATTTTGAGACGGAGAAGTTCTCCTGTTTGATAATGGAATTTTGCCCTGGTGGAGACTTACACACCCTTAGGCAGAAGCAACCCGGGAAACGTTTTCGTGAGCAGGCAGTAAAGTATGATCAAACTGGAAATGATATTACATGTTCTTTACTGTCGTGTGCATGTTTTCCTTGTTCTTTTCCTTTTCAACTATCTATGATTAACTTGCTTTTGATCCTAAGTTGCCTAGTTGCTTGAAGGGCTTTGGGTGGCTTGTCTCTAGTAATTACTATATTTTCTTGCCTCTACTTAAATGAAACAATAGAAAAATTCTGCAGTTTCTGTTTTTTTTTTTTTTGAAACATTTATGCCTGTAGTTGTCTATTCAAGACAATTTTTCTGTTATGGGATTGCAACATCTACTATGGTACAAAGGATATCTAATTGTATGAAAGGTATTGAAGGATATCTTGTTTGCTGATGTTGGACCAAATGAGAATTCCTTTGAAATGCATCGACTTTGTGGAAGCTCAGTAAACAATTTTTTTTTCATTTTATTTCCTTTTTGCAATTTGCATTTATCTATAGAAACACTAACACAATGTTTTCAAAATTCGTGCATATTTTCTACGGCCTTTACAATAATGTTGAATTTGATTTGCATTGCAGGTTTTATGTAGCAGAGGTCTTGCTAGCGCTGGAATATCTTCATATGCTTGGGATCATCTATCGTGATCTTAAGCCAGAAAATGTTCTTGTGAGGGAAGATGGCCATATAATGCTCTCTGATTTTGATCTTTCCCTTCGTTGCGCTGTCAGCCCAACTCTTGTCAGGACGGCTTCTCTCAAATCAGAGCCATTAAGGAAGAACCCAGTTTACTGTGTTCAGCCTGCATGCATTGAACCTTCCTGCATTCAACCAACTTGCGTTGCTCCGACAACTTGTTTTTCTCACCGTCTCTTTTCTAGCAAGTCCAAGAAAGACCGCAAGCCAAAAAACGAAATTGGGAACCAAGTTAGCCCATTACCTGAGCTAATAGCGGAGCCAACCGATGCTCGTTCAATGTCATTTGTCGGCACTCATGAGTACTTGGCTCCAGAGATCATCAAGGGTGAGGGCCATGGAAGTGCTGTTGATTGGTGGACTTTCGGGATGATCTTCTACGAAACCTTGTTCAGTAAAACCCCTTTTAAGGGATCTGGCAACCGGGCAACATATTTCAATGTCGTAGGACAGCCTCTTCGGTTTCCAGAATCACCCTTTGTGAGTTTTGCAGCAAGGGACCTCATAAGGGGACTACTTGTGAAAGAACCACAACATAGATTGGCTTATAAACGAGGGGCAACCGAGATTAAGCAACATCCCTTCTTTGAAGGTGTGAATTGGGCATTGATTCGTTGTGCTACCCCGCCTGACATTCCAAAGCCAGTCGAGCTTGAACGAGTACCAGCGTCACCAGCATCAACAAGTGAAGAGGCTGCTGTCAACGCAGCAGCTGCTTATGATCAGAAAGGTTCAGACAATTATTTGGAGTTCGATTTCTTTTAGCACTTTTTGCCATTAATTCCAAAACCCAATTAGTTTCTATTTAGCTGGAAGATTACTATGAACACCTCAATAGTTGTTGGTAAGACGAGGATGAAGTTTTCATTGTGACGGATAACGTTACATGGAAAAAATGTATGTTGCTTCCTATTTTAACAAATTTTATTCCGCATTTTCTAATTATTTCATGGACCCTGCCAAATTTTGCCCCTACGAGAAAATAAAAATAAGTCACTACCTGCGAACTTCCGCCATGCGAACCTCAGCTATGCGAAGCGACATGTGGAGCGTATTTCGTGAGCAACCGCCAGTGACCACGTATTGATCAATTAGTCACCATGTGAATCTCAGCTATGCGAATTTTCAGACACGTGGAGCATATTTTGTGAGCGTCCACCAATGACCATTTGTCGATCAACTAAGACCCCTACAAACATATCATGTGTATGATCACGTGTTGGTATATGTGGTCTCATTTGATACAAATCAATCTAAACTATTGCTTCTTAGGATGTCCAATTAACACTAATACCACGCACACCAATACCACGACAATTCTCTATTGGCACGTCCAAACCATTATAAGTAGCCATGCAATAGAGAATAAAGACACGTAGACACTTGATCAACATCGTCAGAACCATCATCCTGCCGTCATCTATGATCGTTGTTTACTTAACCAGTCAACAAGAACCAATTGGAATATCAAACATAGATCAATTGAAATGAGTTCATAATCCCAGATTACATTCATATATTAAGGCCAAACCCATATGTGATAATAAAATGCGGCGAACTATGAGGAAAACAATGAGACATGGTGAAAACATAGTGAATATGAAGTTGTTTATGGATTGTGTTTCAGTTAATGTATAATGTTTCTGTCAAAGGGTGTTCCTTAAAATATAATTTACAACTATTACTTGGCAAAAGAAAAGAATTCTTTCATAATGCTAAATAAGCAATTCTTAGAACTTGGGTTTGAAACACATGCACGCAAATGAATCGTCGCTGCGATCGTCATCAGCTTCCTGCGAGACCTTGAAGTAGTCTTCATTGGCGGCTGGAGAGAGCAAATCCGGGGGCAAGGGTGAGGGCGAGGGTAACGGCGATCCAAGCATATTGGCAGTCACATCTTTCCCTTCACATACAACCTTGACCTCACAAGTTTTCGGAGCACTCTCAAATATTTGATGAGCTATCCCCACCGCCTCTCCTAGACTTCACTTTTCTACACACCCATAAGAAGAAAGTAAGACCCTAAACACACAGAAACGCAATACTAGAAAGGGTTCTAATAAGAATTTGTGTGTAAAATACCTGGTTCCAACCACTAGTTTTGTGATGTTTAGAATAGGGATTAGATCTATTATGGCTTTTGCAACCATATCACTTTCAACAAGCATGGTATCTACCTTAACCTGTTCGATAAATTGCTTGGTTAATTAATTTTAATGCGAAAAATGAGTTAATGCAATCAAACAGTAATGCAAAAGTCCGTATAACTATTTAGTACCTTAGAAGCAGTGCAGATATCGAGATATTTCTGAAGGAATTGTCTTCTCTTCCCCCTTTCTTGCGTCATATAGGTCTCCACTTGTGCTGCCGATACTTGGCTCTTGGGCAGCTTTCCTACTATCATCAATCCTTTGCTGTTAGCGGCTGCTAAAAGAAAGCAAAAAATAAATAAAATTGAAGTAATTAATTTGCTTACATGGAGAAGGAATGTAATGAATCTCCGGAAACACGTGCACAAGAAACAAGGTGGTAGCGTTGGTGGAGGAATCGACGAAATGAGACAGCGTCCAAGACAGCGCATCCATGCTTGACTGACTCTTCCCCACCGCTACGTATACGCTATCCTCATCCCTTGCTCCGACGCTGTTTACATCAAAGGAGAACACACTGCTGATCTCTTCTATTTCTTTGATCGATGCCAATGGTTCCCCCTCGTTTGTCTCGAATAACTCATTTTCTCTTCTTCTTCTATCTCGTTTACACCGCTCGAGAGCCCGTAAGTATTGGCGGCGGCTTCCGAACGCGGTGTCGACATCTTCGTGAAGCTTTTTCTCCTTGGGAAGATGATGAAAACTGATAGAATTTAACCTTTTCGATGGCTAGCTATATAATTTTGTGGAGCTTCATTGATGCATATGGAAATAGAACGCATAAACTATTTCAAGGATATACATTAGTTTGTTAGGTTCATATAGCCCTCAAAGTCCAACTTTGCCTCTTTCAATTTGACTTTTCTGAATTATAAATGCGACAGAAATTGCATACGTTGTAACCTTTGGGTTTTTGGAAATGGATTAAAATTCACTACAAGTCCTTATACTATATAAAAATTTCATTTGAATCCCTGAACTATAAAAAAGAGACATTTAAATCTTTGTACATTTGAATAATTAAATATTTTGATCCAAAATATTAAATTTATAGTTACTTAAATATTTCGAATTAAGTCCTTGTTAATTTTAAAAAAGATCAAATCGACCTTTTTTTTAAAAAGGAAAAGTAATTTAGTCAATGTAGATTTTAAAATAGAGTAAATAAGAATGTTATGATTTTATTTTTTTAATTAAACTTTACTTGAATTTTCTTAAACACTTATTAAATTTAAAATTAGCCAATAATTTTTAATGCTAATTTTAAATTTTTAACTTTTGCGTGTATTTGATTGATCATGACTTGAAATATTTATCGTAGCATTTCAAATCTGCCATTTTTGTATTTTTTTTATATGTTAGATTGTATAGTAATGTTTTACTCAATCGATTTTGATTCAAATAAGTTCACTTAATATATATATATATATATACTTAAAGTTTTATCGTCTTACTTACATCAACAATAATACGAACTATAATCCATAAGTAGGGATGGCAACTCAACCCGAATCCGACGGGTTCCGACCCGATCGGGTCGGATTTTTTTTTAAAAAATTCGGATTCGGGTCGGTCGGGTTTTTTTTTAAATGTACTGTTTGGGTCGGGTCGGGTCGGGTTTAGGGTGAAAAAATCCGACCCGACCCGACCCGAAAAATATATATAATTTTATTCTAGATATTTAGGGATAATTACAATAATGTCCCTCCATATATAATTTTTTTCAATTAAGTCACTGTTTTCATTGAATAAAATTTTTATTATTATTATTTTGGGTCGGGTCGGGTCGGGTCGGGTTTCTAAGCCATATATTCGGGTCGGTTCGGGTCGGGTGAAACTTTAATTTCGTCGGGTCGGGTCGGGTCACGGGTGAAAACCCCTTTCTTCTCAGATCGGGTCGGGTGGCCCAAAAACCCAACCCGACCCGACCCATTGCCATCCCTATCCATAAGGTACTATGAGATGTCTAATTATGTGCTATTTCTAGTGTGAATGTTGAAACTAAATCATATTTGTGCTTTGAATTGTAATTATAATATTATTGCAAGTAAAGACTGTAAAATTTAAAGTTAGAATATGAAATTATTTTTTATTTATATTTATATTTTATAATTGTTTTAAAATTTATAAAAAATGTATTCTAAGAGAGATTAATTCACTCTAATTTATAATTAAAGAATATTTAATCAAAAATATTTAAATCAACTAACAATTAATATTTTAAACTAAAATATATTTTTAAAATTATAAAAAATTTAAATATTACTTTATATAATTTTTTAGTGCCAACTATTAAAAGTTATAAGATGGTCCCCTAACTATAGGACATTATTTTGTTGAGTCCTATGACTATTAAAAGTTACAAATTGATCACCCAACTATCCATATATTTCAAACTTGTTTTCGTTAAAAAAAATGTGACTGTCTGAGCTGGACGTCAACCTGTTGATTCGGACATGATAAAATATAATCCCAGAACTAATTGAATTGTATTTTTTGGATTGATTCTCCGTTTACATTTTCTCGTCGAGGTAGTGCTTGAAATATTATATCGTCGAGTCAGTGCTTGAAAGCAACAATGGTGTCATTAGACATTATTAAAATATAATTTTATCACATCCAACCAACATGTTAACTTCCAACTCATACGGTCATCAAATTTTTAACGAAAAAAAATGAGTTTAAAACATATGAATAATCGAATGATCATTTTGTAACTTTTAATAGTCATAGGACTCAACAAAACGACGTCCTATAGTCGGAGGATCATTTTATAACTTTTAATAGTAGAGAGACTTAACAAAGTAGCACCCTATACTCGGGGACCATTTGTGTACTTTGCCCTTAAATATAATACAAGGATCTGCGATAAACGAAATGTTTAAAAAAATGAAGAAAATATATTTAAATGTCAATTTGATAAGGTATTTATATCATAGATCTAATCGATCTGATAAGTCCTATATCAGTAATTTTTGGAATTATTAAAATTCACTCTTCTCTGAAAAAACGTTTAAGAATCCTACAAACCAAAAATCTTAAAAGTCCTATATCAGTAATTTTGTTTGTTTATTTGGCTTTCCACACATATAATATTATGTCATGTGAATATGTGATCAAATGTTTTGTTTAATAATACCATATAATTCAATTTAATTAAGTTCTTGATGATGTTATTAATCAGGATTTAGTTATTTTATCAAATGGAAGAGGGATAAACTCTAAAATTTAAAAAAATAGAGTGTATGATTAAAACTACATCTAATATAATTTGATTTAAATTTCTTTCTCTAAAATAATTTTATTTAAAATTAACTTGGATGCAACGACAAAAAAAATTAAAATTAAATTTTAAAGATCATGAAATCTCAAATTTCAAACATAATTTTTTTTAAATTAATCTAATTGCTTCTATAAATCAAATCAAACTGAATATGTATTTTGGAATTCAAACAAGTTAATGCTATTTTCTCGACAGCATCGCTTTGTCGTTTTCAGTAATTTAAAGAAAATGATAATTTCAAAATGTCTCCAATTTATCGTGAATTCATATTATTAATTAGTGGAATTGAAGCTTGCGTTTGTTTGAATATTAAAGCGTCTCTTACAATTATTAATAGCGTTATCAATTAGACTTTAATTAATAAATAAAAAAGTAGATTGGTTAAACTCTTGAAATTAATAATAGAGGGATTACAATTTAAATGTGCAAAGAGTTGGGGAATAAGAACATAATTAGACCTAATAGAAGCCAGAATTAATTAATCAGTGAAATCGAAACTTGCTTTCTGCATATTAAAGTCCGTCTTACAAATATTGAGGGTATAATAGAAAGGATATTCGATTAGATGCTGCTATCTTTAAAATAAGGTTATGTAAACTAATATATCACATCTATTAAATAACTGAAACGTCAAGTCAAATACCATAAAATAAATTATATATTTTTGGATAACTTACGACTCGAAATATATTATGATCGTTAAAAAAATATTAATATGAGATAAAATAATAATAATAAATATTATTATATAATCGAACAAAACAAAATAAATAAAACTTAAAGTATAGGTAAAAAATTAGTTTACTCATATTTAGACACTCAATCGGATGAGTGGAATAACATAAATCGAAGAAGAATTTTGTTGAGACCTGTATGAACAGTTTCCTTAAGACAAATTCATCCTATGTCTTTCACTATTACCGGAAAGAACGAATTTGAAAAAAAAATTTCCAAGTGTTTTCTAATTCAACGTTGTGAATTGTGTCTTGTAACTTATGTTGTGTTATGTCTTATAATTGTGCCTCAACTAACCTATTTATAGGTGAGGGGACGTGAATCAAAATATTAGAATTTTTTGATGAATGGTTAAAACATTTTACGAAAATAATTTGTTGAAAAACTAATAGGTATAATCGAATGGATACAACTTTAAACGAAAAATTAATTACATTTACCAATTGACATGACTTATTATAAATAGCATTAATTTTATTCCATTAAATTATTATTTTTCAACAATGATTGCATTAGAAACACTGAAAATAGAAAAGGATATTCTACTTTATTTAAAAAATTAATAATATTAAATGTCAATAGGGCAGGGTTTATTAATTTGTGAATCATTAAGTCAAACTGCATCATTCATGTATTATATATTATATTTCAATATATATTTTAAAATAATATAGAATGGCGTATAGATGTTTAAATCTAAAACTTGTAGAGAGAATTAATATTATTCTCTTTTATTTGCTTACTGTGTTTTATTTCTTTTACAATATAGAACTTCGTGTATCTGTCCGATTATTGCTTATGAAATTATAGTATTTTGTGTGGTTATTTCTACTGTCTCGAGTTCAATGATAAGAATTGGAAGTTTTAATTGAAATTCTTAATCTTGTGTGGCTATGTTCTTTCATTTTGCAGGACTGATAGTGCATTGAGTTTTGGACGGTATTTTTCACTCGGTATGCTTCTTGGTTTGTCGCTGTGATTGTTATATATTCATGTGACGGGAGACATGTTAGAAGCTCGTCATTTTTTACTCGTCTTCTACCTTGCAGTTGCATATAGGGTTTTGTTTCAGTTGCTCCCCCAATTATTTTCAAGGGAAAATCTCTTGCATAGGTTCGTTAGAACTTTTTTCTCCCTGTGGGATTTTGGATGTTACAATTTCTTTTTTCATTTAATTCTTTCATAGATAAGATGACAGTGATCTGCAGCTGATGATGGTGCAGAGGTATATATTTTGCCTGCAACTGATCTCATCGGTGGTGCTCATGCTTTGGTGGTGGGTAAGTTCCAAATGCTTTGCCTTCAATTGATGTTTTTGGTTTTACTATTCATCACGTCTTTGAGAAGGCATTTTGATGTCTTCTTTATCGGGTTTGGAAATTTTGCATCGAATCATTGCTCAGAGTCACAAATCCCCTAGTGCTTCATTACCTTTTCACTGAAACTGCTCCACTCTGGTTTCTTCTAAAGCCTTGAGTCTTCTCTTTTTGAATTTGCAGCTACTTTACATGTGTTTCCGATGTAGTGGTAAAGCTAACGAGATGAAGCGTGAGGCTGCTAGAAGAACAACGGCAGCAGCACCGTTATATACAGGACAGATACAGAAATTTATGTTACGAGGGTGGATATTTATAATTTTAAGATACGACATATTTATAAAATTATATGGAGATAAAAATAGGTTTTTAATAAAAATATATTAAAAAATTTAAAATATATGATAATTTTTTTTTAAAAGGGACAACTATTCCTACATGTCCCTTCCATCCATCCCTGCTGACGGTGATGGTATTTGCTAGTGGTAGATTTGGATCATGTTGTATAAGCTACTAACTGCTTCTTCCCGTACAATTTTTGGGCTGGCTGTCTTGTTTAATCATTTTATATTGGCATGTTTAAATATATATAAACCTATAGATTGCTGAATGTTGAGAAAATAGATTGAGTTTGTGGATAGTAAGGTTTATCAGGCTAACTTTAGCAGTTGTGTAGGCCATATATATATTTGTAATGTATCAAGTAATCAATACCTTGAACTCAAGTATTCAAAATAGATTTCATTGATAAGCAAAGAAATTACAGCAAAATAGAAAAAGAAATATAAGAAATAAAAGAGAAGGCTAGAAGAGAGAATTAGAGAGGGAGAAAGAATATCATATTATAATAATTTTCATACCCCTCCTTCTATCCTATGTTTCCATATATAATAACCCATAACCCTTGAAATGCTTACTATCACGTGTATTCTTCCTTGTTACCCATTATTTACATGGCAATATTTGTTGTATGTGCTGAGTTGGCTTTAACTGAATTTGGGTCATAACAATACCCCTTCTTGGAGAGGAACCTTGTAGGTTCCAAGTAAGAAATGCTCTTTGAATCTCTTCCATAGACATCCATTTAGTTGTCTCATTGAACAAACCATCCCCTTGAGTTAATAATCGACACTTCAATAGTCCATTTTCCTCAATTCTCGCTGTGTTAAAAGATCATGTGGTTTAACCTTCAATTCATTGGAAGTTTTACTTGCATCAAACATGTCTAGATATTCACTTATGCTATGCTTGTACTTTGCCATAGCATTATTATCAACTTCAGTAGTCGCTATAAACATCTCCATTTTATGATTCTTTAGTAACATTCGCAACGCTAAAGACTTTGCACCCGCTCCTAGTCTCCTCACATTATATGTAAAAATCTTCATTTTGTAGCAAATATCCTCCTTTCATGACCCTCTACCACCCAGCAAACCTTCTTTAATCTTTTTTCTAATAAAGTCGATTCCTTCAACACCTCCCCCTCATCACCAATCATGAGCGTATTGTCACCACCAAGGAAGGTTCTATCACTTATGTGCAAGCTATTTATATGCTCGTTGTTAACTTGTAGGACGATGCATTAGTGTATATGTGGTCCAAGCCTATGGTTAGAAGTGAAGCAAACATTATTTACATGAATGATCCAAAAGACAGGATATGGTTTTATGAAGGTGATGACCTAATATTGCTGTGACAATACAGTTATGCGTCTTGCAATAATTAACACCTAGATCCCCTTTCAAGAATTAAACACTTAACCAAATAAAATTACTTCTCAACAAAACTATCGATCAAGCAATTAACATAGCAAAAACAATGGGTAACATACATCTCCATATGTTTAAATTCACTCTCACAAACATGGATGTTGTAAATAAAGTAGCATGCAATCTCAATAATTTTCATTTCTAAAAACGATTAAGATTAACATACATAAAGATATTTTCATCTCTAAATATACCCAATAAAGATTCGACACATAAAAGTAGTGTTTAAGCAAAAGAACATAAAGAAACATTTCATCAAATACTTTATGTTCAAATACAGATTCAATAAAATAAATCGTCCAAACTAAATAAAGTTATCTTCACTCTTTCGAGCAAAGAAACCAAAAAAAAGCTTGAACCTAATCGGTCACAGCTGCTCCACGGCTGCTGCTGCACTCCCCAAAGGTGATTTTAAGCTACCATGGCTGCTGCCGTGGAGGAGAAAATAAAAAGGATGCTAGGGAAATTAATAGAGATGAAGAGATGATGTGAAAAGTGTGAAGGCTAGTCCTTTTATATGCCCAAAAGGTCAAAGCATTCTCCAACATGAAAAATATAATTTTTACTTTATTTTCCAGCTATTTTACAGTTGGAATGGACAGTTGTTCAATTCCAGAAAATTCTATAACTTTATGTTGAGTCACCAGTTGTTGAAGCTTCGGTTCAACAATTCAATACAACATTGTCTCACAACAACGCCTATAGTATCAACAATGCAATAATATCGACGTACCAAATCATAGCAAAATATCATAAAATAGTCCAAAAGATATAAATTCACTCCAATGCACAAATGATGCAAAATATGATAAAATAAACTTAAAATGATCCTAATGATGCTAAAGTTCATACTTAACCTAAATAAAAAGGTCCTAAATAATAATTCTTTTGGAGAGTTATTAACTGCCTCGTGGAGTATTTGGCTACATGGTAACGAAAGATACTTTCAATAATATTTGTATAAAATAGAGGTAAAAATTTATTTGGTTTGAAAGCTTTTCACTTTCCATAAAATTTCAGTAATAGTTTTACAAGAATCTAAGAATGGGACTCTTAGGGATGAAGAAATTAACATCTTTGGTTAGTGGTTGCTTTCAGTTTTATGTCCTTTGGAGCTGCTGGTTGGTCTAGGGGAATTGTTTTAATCTGGGTTAATAGTATCTTTCATTTGACAAATGGTTTTATTATACAACATATTCATCATAATTCTGGGCTTTGGGTGCCATATGGGTAGTCTTATACTTTTGTCGATGTTTATGCTCCTTGCGTTGTTTCAGTTCAAAGTATTTGGTGGGATGAATTGATTTTGTTGAAAGGCTATAGCCAAAGCAAACAGGTTGGAATTTTTTTTTTCTTTTGTCGTGGTTCTGCAATATAATGTTTGATAGGTAGTGAAAGATGTTCTTAGAGAATTCATCTTTGCAAGGCTCGACTCCTTTGAAGGTTTTGATTATTCTTTGATTAGAAGAATATGATTACCTTGACAAATGTTCCTTCGGACTTTAGATTCCATCCCATAGATAAAGAACTCATTGATTACTATGGGAATTTTAAATCAAGTGTAGAAAGAGTTGGTGACACTCATTGTCGAAGTTAAGCTTGATGACTCTAATTGACAAAGTTCCACGCTGAAGTCTTGTTGAGATTGTTTAGCGTGTGTTTGGTGCGATCCTTGGCTTTATCTTTTCGAGGTGAAAATGTTGGGTTTATTGCTTTGTGGGCGTTATCGCGGCTGGTTACCTTTCTTCTAAGAGGTTTTCGTAGTAGTCTTTTGTTTAGCTGATATATCTTTCGAAGAGATTTGAGTGGAAAACTGAAGCCAAAGTTCAATGCAAAATCATTTCAGTCTGGACTGAATTTTGTGGACAATAATCAGTTTCATTGAGTAGACCCCTCTGTTTGTGTTGTAAGTTGCCTTGGATGATCGGGAAACAAATGCATTGCCGGATTTTGTGTTTGTTGGATGCTTATTGTTACATTTGGGTGTGGTGTTATTCGTTTAGGGAGTTGTCTTTGTAAGTGGTGGTGTTCATTCGGGTTATGCTTGTTTCTTGTATTGGTTATTTTTTGGTTGTATTATTTTACTTATATAATACTCTTTTTCTCCGATTATAAATTTTTTAACGAAGTTAAGTAGAATTTTGGCTCTCAATTATAAATAATATAATCTTGGCCGAGTAAAAAAAAATAATAATAAATAAAAAAATCAAATGGGAATCTGGATAAAATGGAGTGCATAAAAAAATAATAATAATAAACATTTAGATTAAGTGGCAGGGACCCCGAATTGCCTAAACTAAAAATTAGCAAAATTAAAATTGGTCTTTGGGATTGTAACCGGCAGGCAGCGGTAGCAGCAAGAGGTAGAAAGACGAGCAAGATGCAGCTGAGCGCAGTGAGCAGTGCGCTTGCAATGATCTATCAACAGGCGCAAACAACTCAACGAAGAAGCAGTGAGCAGTGCGCGGGGAACGAAAGTGAGGATCGATGAGCCATGATCTGTGGGATTGGTAGCAGTTGAGCAGTGAGCAGCTAGGGGCGAACGGCTGTAGATTGAAATCCCGGGGAAAGATTGTCAATCGGATCAGAAATAAATCTGCTTTGGGCTTAGAATCAAAATACTAATATTTTAAGTTTAGTCTAAAACCCCAAAAGTATATACATATATGGGTTCATCCGTTTTTTATTTAAGCTGTTTGAACAGTTTTAAACGTTTTCATTAAAAAAAAAAAACACCCCTTTAATATCATTGTTCCGTCTGTTGTGCCATCCGATTCCATCAATTCGTCCGATCCGATTTGAATAACGTTGTTTAGATCAAAAAAAATTCTGAACGGCTGAAAAGGAGGATGGGATTTCCCACTTACACTGGTTGAAAATCTTTGGGGTATTTGTTAGTACCTGTCATGGACTAAACTTTTGGGTCCATGGGCATTGGCGTAAAGGTTCACAGAAGGGGTTCAATTACGCAGACTTTGGGCTTGTTGGGCATGGTGAATTGGCCTGGTTCTTGGAGAATGCTTGCGGGTCCGTAAAGGCTCGAGTTCGTGAAGGATCAAGTCCGAGGCGTCCGAGAGAAGCGACGAGGGTGTTACATGTTCGATGGGGGTAATTTTGTCGAGGCTCGTGGATTCGGACCGAGACATGTGTGAGCAAATTTCTGTAGAAGAATAATACAGAGTGTTGGGCTTGCCCAGAACCATCAGACCTGGCCCGTTCCTTGGAAGATTCCAGAAAGAATATTATTATCCAATAATTAAGGATTTAATTATGGATAATGTTTTATTTGAATTCAAATACCTTAGAGATAGAGTTCTGTTAAGGTAGGATTCAATGTAAGCCGTCGATGTACTTTGATCTAGACCGTTGGATCTTGAGGGCCTCAACTATAAATAGAGAGCTCCTCCCCTCATTTGTAATCATTCACTTCATTCATTATCTTCAGAGTAATAAAACTCAGGCATTTACTCTTACTCTCTCTGAGTTCTTTCTTTCTAGCTTTCTAGCTTGCAGCTTTCTAGCCTTGTCGGCTTGATCTCCTTTGTGCTTAAGCCTTTGTGGCTTGTGTTACCGATCGGGAGGGCTGAGATAGCCTCGGGAGTGTTCTTTTCTGAGTTCTTTCAAAGTGCCAAAATGATTCAAGTCTTGGTGACTTAGAAAGTTCCCACAACGCACGTGCTTCAGAGATCTGCTTCAACCCAGGTGGCTTGAATTAGCCCCGATTAAGTGTTATTTCCGCATTATTGTTTAACCCTTGAGGGTTTGTTCGTCACTTAGTGAGCCAGAGACTCACAAGGACGTGGATAAGGCTAACTTAGGCGCCATTTCGACCTGGAAATCGTCTAAGTGCCGCACGAATCGTCTAGCAGAAGTCTAGTCCCGTGGCAGGTGGTATCAGAGCGTTGCTGTAGCTGTAGCCCCGACACAAGTGGTGTCAGAACGAGTTGTCGGTGTAAGTAATTTACCCGTCTGACTTAGTGGCAAGCAGTGACAGAGCGAGTCGTTACTGGCAAACAACGATCGTTTTGTACGTGGTTTGGGGAAGCAAGTCAAAGCAAGTCGGAGTGTAGGTGTTGTGGATTCAACAGTGATCCGAGCTTGTCTTGTGACAAGAAGCATTTTAGCGAGGTGATGGAAGCCGTTGTGGATTCAACGAGTGTTCCAGACAGGTTGTGGAAAGGAAACGAGATGGCACAACAAAAAGGAGTTGTTCCCACAGAGGATGGCGCGGAGAGCCGTGGTGTTGGGATTGAGCTAGAGAAACAAAGTGTGGGAGTTACCCCAGGATCATTGGAGGTGAGGATCAAGAACCTTGAGAGCTTCACGGAAGAAGCCAAGGAGGTCCAAGGAGTTATGGAGTCCCGTCTTGAACAGTTAGAATCCATGAGGGATGGGTTCAAGGATGTGGCGCAACAGAGTCTCCGCGGTTGGACGTTGATAGAGATGAGTAATGCGCTCAGGGTCGAGTTGATGGCCTTGAGGGAAGAGATGGATGGGCTCAAGAGTGAGATACTCATGCGCAAAACAGTAATGAGTTATGGTGGTGCGTGCAATACCTTCATCGAAGGACTTAGACCGGGGGTGATGCTTGCCAGTGAGCAAGGTGATACCCAGAGTTATTCAGAAGTCGGAGCTGTAGCCGAGTCAAGGTGCGAGCTTGCAGGAGCCAAGCCAACCAAAGATGAGTCATCCAAACCCATGCCCAAAGATAGTGGTGAAAATGGGGGAGACCATGACAAGGGACAGTGGATAGATGGCAGAGAAAACTCTTCGAGTAGCCAAGAAGTGGCATCGACTGGTCGTGGTCGGATAAAGCCATCAGGGAATAATGGCAAGGCCAAGTCTGTGTTAAAGAAGAAGGTGAGTAACAAGCCTCTTAAATGCTACTTCTGTGATGGTCCTCACTTGATAAGAGGATGCCCCGAGAAGAATCGCCTTGCTGCCATTGTCAAAGGAGAAGGCAAGTCAAAAGGGGAAGTAGCCGATGATGGTGCGACTGCGGGAGTCGAAGCAGTCAAACCAAGAGCGAGGCTCGGCGCGAATGCTAGTGGTGCAGGAAAGCCGAGGGTAAACAAGCGAGATCCACTGAAGTGCTTCATATGTCAAGGAGCACATAGGGCCAAGAGTTGCCCAAACAAAGCAAAGCTCGGTGCCAATGCGAGTGGCGAAGCAACTAAGCCGAGGATAAAGAAGCAAGAGCCATTGAAGTGTTTCCGATGTGATGGAGAACACAAGGTGCGAGATTGCACCAATGAAGCAGGGCTCAGTGACAATGCGAGTGGCGAAGCAACTAAGCCGAGGGTAAAGAAGCGAGAGCCATTGAAGTGTTTCCAATGCGGTGGACAACACAAGGTGCGAGATTGCACCACCGAAGTAAAGCTCGGTGCGAAAGCCAAGGGCCAAGCTGAAGAGCCGAGGGTAAATAAGCGAAAGCAACTGGAGTGTTTCCGGTGCAAAGGTCCACACATAGTGCGGGAATGCCCAAACCGAATCAAGCAGTCCAAGGGAAAGGACAAGGTCGAGAGTAGCGAGCCTGCCAAGCTTGGTTCAATGGTGTTTACTACTGCCAAGGTTAGTCAAAACCAAAAGCAGAACGGGTTGCCCAAACCCAATTTTGCCAAGGAGCTTTCCAAGGATACCGAGGAGGTAGCCGTTGCTGTTGAAGCTGGAATTGGCAAAGGACCAAAAGAGTCTGAGACCTTTCAAGAGCAATCGAGCTCAGTGCATGCCGAGAGTGAGGCATGGTCTAAGTTGATGAATCTTAGACATGATGGGACGTTGAAGGAGTATGTGAGAGAGTTCGAGGAACTCATGCTCCAAGTCCCAGAGTTGACTGAAGAAGATGCATTCTTCACCTTCACAGATGGATTGAAGCCATGGGCAAAGGCGACGATGGAGAGAAGGGGAATCAAGGAGTTGTCTAAAGCCTTGATAGCCGCCGAGTCCATCATAGAACTTGGATTCAAGAAGACATCCAAGACAAAGTTGAAAGCCGAGGGTAATGGCGAAAATATTCGAGATGAGGGTCAGTCCAACAATGATGAGGAGCAAGGCTCTTCGAGTGAAGCTTGTTCGAGTGAAGTGTGTTCGAATGGTGAGCATTCGAGCATTGATCGTTCAAGTGGTGAGCACATGTCAAGAAAATACATGGATGATGTTGGCACAAGTAAAGCGAACAAGTGCCTTACACCGAGGGCAAGAAAGGAGCAGACGAAGGGTCACCGAAGTAAGGGGCCACAAGAGTTGCAAGCTTGCCGGGATAAAGCCGAGTGGTCCGAGAGGATGGAGAAGCCCAGGATCGAGTTACCCAATGACATGGGTAAAGATAAGCTTAGCGAGGCTGCGAGACTTGGCTCAATGAACTTTAGTTCTGCCAAGGCAAGTAGAGGCCGAAAGCAGAATGGGTTGATGTGTGCGAACATCAATGTTGCCGAACCATCAGGAGTTGCCTTAGTAGACACAGGGGCAACTGATCCATTCATGTCAAAGAAGGATGCCGACAATCTTGGTTTAAAAGCCGAACCACCGAAGGGGGCAATCAAGACTGGCAATTCTGAAGAAGTTCCAATGGAGCGGAATGTTGTTTTAAGGACTACCATCGAAGAGACAACCGAGAAGTGGTTGATGGAGTCTAAGCCTTTAAGAGACATGATGGGCGAGAACTTGCCACCCATGTAAGAGGGTGGAAGTCGCACCGGACTTCAAGGGAGGAAGTGCCGATGCGAGTAGAAACACCAGACTTCCGGATAGAAGTGTTGGTGTGTGGAGTGCCAGACTTCACGGAGTAAGAAGGGCTGACACGTAGAGTAAATGTGCTGGGGGAAATCGAGGGACATCTCAAATACATTCCAAGTGTTGAGTTTGATTCACCATCGTTGATGAGCATAGGTCGAGGACCTAACCATCTTTTTACGGAGTTATCAAAGGTTGGAAGGGACATCTGAGACTTTCAGAGTTCTTAGGGACAAGCGAGTGTTGCCGATGAATCTGAGTTGTCGTGTTGTATGTTGCCGGAGTATCCAATTCTTTACCGCTGGATAAAAAAATATCCTTGTTTGGGTGAATGCAAAACGGGTAGGATGGATTTCCTACGTTCGAGATGAATGCCAAGGTGTGCTAGATGGTGATAAGACATGACGGTGTTAACCAAGGCGAGGAAGCCAAGGTGTTTGTTAAAGCGTCCAAGACCAAGTGTTCTCACCTAGCGACGAGGGCGTCGCTAGATCAAGTGGGGGAGATTATCATGGACTAAACTTTTGGGTCCATGGGCATTGGCGTAAAGGTTCACAGAAGGGGTTCAATTACGCAGACTTTGGGCTTGTTGGGCATGGTGAGTTGGCCTGGTTCTTGGAGAATGCTTGCGGGCCCGTAAAGGCTCGAGTTCGTGAAGGATCAAGTCCGAGGCGTCCGAGAGAAGCGACGAGGGTGTTACATGTTCGATGGGGGCAATTTTGTCGAGGCTCGTGGATTCGGACCGAGACATGTGTGAGCAAATTTCTGTAGAAGAATAATACAGAGTGTTGGGCTTGCCCAGAACCATCAGACCTGGCCCGTTCCTTGGAAGATTCCAGAAAGAATATTATTATCCAATAATTAAGGATTTAATTATGGATAATGTTTTATTTGAATTCAAATACCTTAGAGATAGAGTTCTGTTAAGGTAGGATTCAATGTAAGCCGTCGATGTACTTTGATCTAGACCGTTGGATCTTGAGGGCCTCAACTATAAATAGAGAGCTCCTCCCCTCATTTGTAATCATTCACTTCATTCATTATCTTCAGAGTAATAAAACTCAGGCATTTACTCTTACTCTCTCTGAGTTCTTTCTTTCTAGCTTTCTAGCTTGCAGCTTTCTAGCCTTGTCGGCTTGATCTCCTTTGTGCTTAAGCCTTTGTGGCTTGTGTTACCGATCGGGAGGGCTGAGATAGCCTCGGGAGTGTTCTTTTCCGAGTTCTTTCAAAGTGCCAAAGTGATTCAAGTCTTGGTGACTTAGAAAGTTCCCACAACGCACGTGCTTCAGAGATCTGCTTCAACCCAGGTGACTTGGATTAGCCCCGATTAAGTGTTATTTCCGCATTATTGTTTAACCCTTGAGGGTTTGTTCGTCACTTAGTGAGCCAGAGACTCACAAGGACGTGGATAAGGCTAACTTAGGCGCCATTTTGACCTGGAAATCGTCTAAGTGCCGCACGAATCGTCTAGCAGAAGTCTAGCCCCGTGACAGTACCTAACAAAACCACCGACTCTGTAATAAATCCAAACCCAATGGATCTAATACAAAACACATCCATGCTTTTAAAGAAATGAAGAAGAAAAAAAAAAGTTATTGGCACGCATTTCGAAGCGGGCGCCATTTGCACAAATACTTGAATTGTGGAAAAATTGATTCACGCAATAGATCAAACAGTTGGTGTTTACATAGCCAGCCGCAGGCTGAGCATACTACGCTGAAACAATAGCCAATTTGATATGGTTGATTCAAATAAACTTATGAAACAATCCCCAAAATATAACTATACAAAGTGCCCTATCAATTTTATGCAACTACACCTTGGAATCCTCTATCATCTACACCATCCATACATAAGTTTTTTTTACCCCCGACAGGGCCACAGATTATGGGAATACCAATATGCCTACAGTTAATTTTACAGTACATTCTCTACAATGTTCTAGTCTAGGACTATGGCGACTACTCCAACATTTATTAGTGTTTACATAAAGTCAGATGGACATTGTCTTCTGCGATCTTGTTAGGTTCTTGCTCGGTAAATGAATGGACACAGCACCGCTTTTGTTTCCCACCTCTACATAGGAAGACTGCAACTGAGGTTCAACTTCAACCCCCTACTGCAATTTTTTGGAACCTGGTTTTCCAACTTTATGCTTCCACTTGCTCTGCATTTGAGAAAAATAAGAAAAAAAGATCAAAACTGAATCAAGTTAAAAGACAAATATGAAACTTCATTGAACATACTGCTAGATGTAGTACAAGGGGCTCATCGTCAGAAATCCCAGAATCCGCAACATCTGAAGTCAAGGGAGGTCCTTCCCATGATTTCTTCAAGATCGGTGATTTACCCCCAACCTGATCACTTTCTTGAGCCTCTTTAGGTTCTGGTCCAGTTGCTTTACTAGCAGGTTCTCTAGAGTCTTCACTTAATCCATCGGCTGCTTTCTCTTCCTCACCCACCTTTTGAGCATTTTCTAAAGTGCTATCTATATGTCCAGAATGATTCCCATCGGCATCAGATTTAACTTCATCCGACTCCTTGGTGTCATTATTTGGGCTTCCTTTTGTATCTTCCGAACACCTGCCTTGGGAAACTGAAGCCACTTTCTTCCCAGATTCTCCTCTTTCCATTACGGTCTCATCTACCATTTTGGCGTCTGCTCCAGATTCATCTGGGAAAAAGGAGTGAAACATAAGTTAGAGACACGAAATGAGTGGGGAAAGAGAAAAAATGACCCAACATCTCATACTTATTCCACAAATTTCCAAGTGATACACCCTACATATACCAAAATAACATTACTTTTAACCATGAAAATGTTCAAATGCAACATTCAATCTAAATGACATTAAATCAGGTTGACGCACAGCTCCATGAGAAGACGCGGAAACTAACAAAGCACTCTAATTTATAGAAAAATTATGAAAACAAACAATACCCGAGTTCATCTTAGGATTTTCGTTAACAGCAATGGACTTGGATTCTGACGTACCAGCGTTCTCTTCATCTTCTTTCAATGTACTCTTTTGAGTATGCTTCAAGTTCTTCTTTGGAGTCCTTTTCCCCTTAGGTCTGCAAATCAAATTTCAATTAAGTTCACAAACCAATTGAAGACAAATAGCTTCTAATCGTCGAGTGATTACTCACGTCTTTACTGAACTCTTATTCAGACGTGGACCAGCTGAGCTCTTACTTTTCTGCCCAGGAGACCTGAAAATGGTACAACTACAACAATCAAGTTATGAAGCAACATAAGAGTTAATTACTAAATGTACGAACAAGTCATTCTCAAAACAAATGCCATATCCGAAAGCAAAGTTGTAATTAACTTAGAGAAGAGTTCACTCTCTACATTGGTAGCTTCTCTTTTTCTATTTTATTGGGGTGATGAATCAGGAGGATATGAAAAACAAAACTACACAGTAAAGTGAGATTTCAGAAAGAATTGTCTAAAAGGCACATTAGTTAATAGCACATACGCTTCCTTCAGAGGGCTCTTACTGACTTTCGCTGAATTTTCCTTCTGTAAAAATTGCAAGCAAAACAAATATAAAGTAAGCTCAAACAAAAATTAAAATGATTTTAGCCTGAAGGAATATGCGAGACGTGAAGTCTTAACCTTTCCAGACTTGCGGTCTGTGCCAATGAGCTCCCAACGCTCTCTTTCCAGACAAAGTACTTCCACATCTCCATCATCATATAATATCTAAGAAGAAAAAACACTTGATTAACAGTTGATTCCAAGTGACGCAAATGTTCACATATGCATTCAAGTATGAAAACAGCTGTAGCTTACCACATGCTTCTTCTTTATAGGGTCATAAGACTTAATTGTACCTTCATAAAACCTGGCATTTCCAGAAGATACAATCAGTAAAGAACCTCTACAAAGATTGCTGTTATGAAAAATGATATTTCACCACTTCAAATGGAATATTGCACATTTACAATAACGTGGAGGCAGTTGAACAAAAAACTTTAGAGACTAGAAACAAATTAATACTCAAGGAAACTGTCAAGTTGACAGGATAATCACAATGGTTCATATACAATGCTAAACATAAAATTAAAAACCTTAAGCTGCTATAAGACCAGAGCACTTTTTTGAATAAATTTTGGTCCTCTTTAAAAAAAATTTTAAAAAAAAAAGAGAGGATGAATTTGCAAGTATAACAAGGAGAAAGTTGAAATAGTCATACAACATCGACAGAGAGCACAAACTCATTTTCAGAATTTCAACAGTAACCAAATGAAGCCTCATGTGAGTTCTCAAACACATGAATGCAACATAAATAACATGCGAACTACAACAGAAATAAAGACTGAATCTATTTCACAGCACGATTCTCAGTAAACTTTTAGAATCTGCTGCAAAGAATAGCAAAAGTTTTGATTACTTACTGCTTATCCAAAGGCCACCACACTTTTATTCTGTAACCAATCAAATCTGTAATATCAACTCCATCTTCCTTCGTTGAGCACTGAACAAAAGAAACAAAGAAGATCAATGTTATAATCTAAGAAAATAAATTGAAGGAGAGGAAAGAATAAAAGAGGTAATGCAAGAGAAATCTGACTATTGAATTAGGAGATTACAATAGTTCAAAATAATCTGAGTTGCTGACTCCTAAGACTTGTCATTTCTCATTATAAAAGACTCCTAAACAAATGAGACTTCTGCATGGCTGATTCTGACAATCCATAATGAACAACGAGCCCAAAACTTTGAGAAACCAAGAGGATTGGATCGGAGAAAAAAAAGAAGCCATTTCTAAATGTGATAGGATAATGCAACAATGCCCCAATAGAACTACAAAATGCACAAGGTAGAAAAGATGGTATGCATCTGAGCTAAATCTCAACAACAGAGAGTACGAGAGAAGCAAGGCAGGTGCTTGGTGCAATTCCAAATACTCTAACATGAGAAATTCTAGTAAAAACATTAAAAAATGCATGCAAGTGACACCAAGACATAAAGGAGGGAGAGGGGGGACCTTTGCTAATCCAGCAATGCTCTTCTGCTTCTTGCTAGATCCAGCTGCAGACTTGCTGGTGTCTGACTTCTGCATGGAGACAAAACAGATATCACAACAGCAAACCCTGATAACATAAAATGTGTGCATCCGAGAGAAATTTAACCAAGTAAAAAAAACAACATACACACCTCAAGATTTTCATCATCAGCTTCATCTTCATTGTCATCATCAATATGACTCCAGTCAGAGCCTTTGACTTTGACTTTTGATGAGAAGCTTCTTTTCTTCCGAATGCTCGGTACCAAGTAGTTAGAATCTTTATTCTCATTCCATCTTTTGCGTGCAGGCATTTTCTCTTTTGAATTGTGGAATTTAACAATGTCCATTTCCTTAGATAGAAACGAGGAATCTTTAACTTCATGCCAGTCATCTCCTGAATCCCTTGAAGGGACCTTAGAAGCACTTCTAGAAATTTTGGAAGCACTATGTGTAGACGATGACCTCTTGCGTTTAGGCACTGGGACAGAAGCAGCAACATTGCCTTTTCTCTTATTACCTTTCTGATGCTCCTGCTCCACTTTTTCTTTCTTGGTATATGAATGTTTATGACCGTTGGTTGATTCAAACTTACTGGACATCTGTAGACTATCCAAATTTATCTCCCTAACCATTTTCAAAATATCAACATCATTTTCCGCATCTTTTGCTTCGACCGAGGGAGACTTCTTTTTAGCTTTCCCAGCCTTGGATTCTTTGGATTTTAATTGCTTAATCATTTTTCTGAGAGGCACTTCATTTCTTTCAGTTTCACTGTCTCCAAGAATCTCCTCCTTGGAAATCTCTTTCTGAACCAAATGCATCATAAAAGGGGAGCAGGAAAAGTTAGGGAACAATGAAACACTAAATACCAAAGTAATCACTATCATACCGGTATGGAAGAACTGTTTTGTTCTAGTACATATCACTAATGTATTTCGGCGTATAGTTTCAAATTTTTCATGATATTTTTTTAGTTGTTTATGTAAATTGGAATAGATATCAGAAAATTAGGGTATCATATTCCCAACTAACTAGCTTCTAACATTTAGGGAACAATTGTGTAATTTTTCCTAGATTAGACTCTCTTTGTAACCTATAAATAAGTGCCACTTTTTTTCTTTTCTTTTTTTGATAATAAGGAAGGCCTCATTAAAAACCCCCTTCATATCCGTCAAGCAACAAAGACTTGACGAACATTGGAAGGAGGAAAAGAGTGCCTAAGAAATTTTATTGCATAATACCCATGTACAAAAAGATCACAATACCACCAAGAACCCTTGGCAGCCCTCAACACTGTGCAAAGATGCACTACAATTAAGCATAAATAATTACCCTACAGAATACAACCTCCTGATATGACTCAGCCAGGAACAAACTTATACAATGACCTAAGCTGTCAAATATTCCCTAGAAACTAAACAACAAAAATAAATCCCCTCCACTTAACCAATCCCTAATTTGGCGAATTGATCCGCTTCCCAATTAACTGCTCTCACCACATGCTGCCGAAATAATGGCTACCGAATTAATTTGGCGAATTGATATCACAGAAAAACTCAATGGCTCCCGAAATAAGGGGGGATTTTTTACTCTTTGAGACAACACAGTTGCTGCCAAAGAGATGAGAACACATCCAAGATCCAAGCTGGGAGTCTCACTAAGTTTGCTCACCAACTTGAGGGGAGGGTAAATTGGAATAGATTGCAGAAAATTAGGGAATTATATTCCTAAATATCTAGCTTCTAACATTTAGGGATTTAACAATAATGTAGCTGCTGATTTTGTGTAATTTTTCCTAGATTACACTCTCTTTGTAACCTATAAATAGGTGCCACTTTTATTAATAGAAATATCAAGAAATACAGAGAAATAATCTTCTGCTCTGCACATACCACTTTTCTACAGTTTATATACACATATGGCTCGTTTTCAAGTTCTCTCATGTATTACAAATGGTTCAATAGTTTAATCTACTAAACATGTTTTATTACAGGGGAAAAAAGATCATGAGAGAAGATCGTTAGGAATTGGTTAAATAAAAGAATCAACTAAGAGAAAAGATTATTTTTTTAAAAAAATTCTTGTACCAACCAGTACAGGGTGTACTAACTGGTATGGGCCAGTATAGTATCATACCAGTTCTAATAATTTTCTTCAAAATTGGTATGTACTGGTCGAAACCACCAGTACAAGTATGGCACTTATGGCCCTTCCAAAACACCATATAGTACCCTTTAGATGAATGAAAGGGAGCATCTCATACCATTCCATCACATTCCAATGTTAGGGATTCGAAGTGAGACAGGACACTCTCATCAGCTAACCATGTTTGCCTTTCTCCAGCCTATCAAAAAGATGAAAGAGCCAATCAAAAACAATGTGCTAACGTATATCCCAAATATGATGCAAATGAAGAAATAAATGTAGTGTCAAGAAGCAGTGCTGAAGCTGAGTTTCAGGCTTTGGCACAAGGAATTTGTGAAGATATTTGGGTACAACAGTTCCTTGCAGAACTTAAATGAATCACAGTGAAGATTTTGAACTTAATTGTGATAATCAATCAGCAATTAGCATTGCAAAAAAATCCAGTACAAGTGTACAACACGACCGAACAAAGCATGTGGAGTTGGATCGTCACTTCATCTCTGAGAAGGTTCAAATGGATCAGTTTAGCTTAATTTCGTCACTACTCGTGAGCAGCTGGCCGATGTGCTCACCAAGGCGCTTCCTAGAATCACCTTTGATGAGCTTACATCCGAGCTGGGACTCTATAACATATACTCACCAACCTGAGGGGGAGTGTAGATTAGATAAGACTTGTGTTACTGTTTGTCAATAGTTAGTTTAGGATAAGTCTCTATTTTATCTTTAATTTAAATTTTCAATAGACTTTTACTTAGGTTAGACTTCTTGTTCAAGAGATCCTTTAAAAGGATAGGACTCTCTCTTTCTGTAACTGGGTTAAGAAATAGAAAACAGAAAATTATATTTCTCTAAAACTTACATTAACGTATTAACACCAGTGTAAGTTAGTTATTTCTATAAATGAATATCACTGGCACCACGTGATTGCATGGTCAAAGCATAAGACTGTTTGCACAAATTATCAACAAGTGGGTTAGCTACACATAGAACTGGGTGTTATACCCAATACTGAATAAATAGCTGACATCCAGTCTCTCAAGTATAAAAGTGCCACTGCTAGGCACAGGTTTTTCCCATCATCACCCGATTGCTGTTAAAAAGCTTCAGATAATTTGACATGCAGAACACCATGGAGAAGCACAGAAAATATGATAAACGAGACAAATATAACTGAAGCCTTACCAGGGAATCTTCACCTTCTTTTCTTTCATATGGTTTGTACAGGAGTGGAGGCAGAGAGACTGACTGTATAAGCCCTTGCAAATCATCCTCCTTATAAGCTAGGCGCTTCATGATGGAAAGTCCAAGGTCACAAATAGAATGTGAATTCTGGGAAAATATTATATGAATTAGCTTTTTTGTTTTAAGGTCTTTAACTTATCTCATCATCAAGAGAGGCAGAACTGTTAACCTATCAACTAGTTATACAAAAAAAAGGATAATCGTAACTACAAAAATAAAAATAAACTTCTCATTAAACCTTCGATTTTGTTGCGTCAACAACGTCTTCAGATTGTTTGATACTCTTAAAGATAGAGAATATCAAAGAAATACTCTCCTTCTCCCTGTTAGCACAAGCTTCTGACTTCACATCTTCATCTTTATTCACCAACAAAGAAATAATCAAGTACAATTTCCTGAAAAATATAAAACAGATGAGTTCAATGACTGAATTTGTATCTAAGAGTAAAAACAAAGACAGATCAAGAAGAGGCACATACCGGTATGTTAATTCAAATGCTTTAACATCCTTGCATTCATCTGTGTTGGGACAGGAATGATGAGCAAGAGCATGTACCAAATGAGGCAGGATGTATTCAGGATAAGACGTCGAGCAACTTGTATCAGATTGTATGGCAACCTGCCGAACTCTTGCTTGCTGATACATTTGAAAGATATCAGCAAAATTCTGTTTTTCCTGCTGTTTCAAACACAACAGAAAATAATAGTTGCATTCACAAATCATTCCATAAAGGAAGAAAATATAAGTTGGACAGCAAACTAAGCTAAAAAAAATCAAGTTCAGCATGTAAACCTCATCAAACTGAAGCTGTTTGGATCCAGGTACGCTAAGTAAGAAAGCACAAGCATATTTTGCATCCAAGAGTCTGTCCTTTATATATTGATGAACTTTGTTGAGGAATTGTTTCCTTGCCTGAGGGAAAGAGATCTAGAAACCCGGAACAGAACTAAGAGAACAGGCAAAGTGAACAAGAAAAGTTAAAGAAAACAAGATTAATGATTTATATTTCATATATGACTTCACCTCTGCTATCCTCAAGGTCAAATAGAAGATATCAACAGGAATCTTATGGTCCCAGTTCCGGGACAGACGAAGAACTGCCTTGGCCGCAGCAAGCCTTAAATGGGCTTTATCAACTATACTGAAAGATAGTAAAAACTTGTGCATGAAATTTGAGCCTCAAAAAGCAACATATTCCAATAAATTATGGTAAATTGACATAGATATTCAACAGCCACACACAAAATATTAGTAAGTAAAGAAAACAGTCTGTGAACCACAGAGAGAGAGAGAGAGAGACAGAAAGAGAAGCCTCCAGATGTTAGCTATAGTACCTTGATTTTATATCTTCAGATATTTCACCAAAAGAAAGTACGTTTCTAAGGAGTCCTAGAAGATCATCAATAGCAGGACGAAGCTGAGCATCTCTGACAGGCAAGTAGCTTTTGACCAATGTCTTTATCCCAAATACCTGCAGCACACAACATATTACAGGTTGAGAGATCCATCACAAAAAAATTATAAAAACAAAAAAGCTTGAAAATCAAAAACTGAAACCCAGACTCCATGTTCCGGGAGATACTGGTATTAATAATGAAATTGCTTTTATCAGAAAATGAAAATAACAATAATAACAACAAACTGACAACAATCCACAACCTTCAACATACAGAGTTCGCTTTTGTCATCCCAACATTCTTTTGCACTGCCATCTGAATCCTGAAGCAATAAAGAAGGTTTATGCATGAAAAAGTAAAAAATATGACAAAGATAAAAAAAGGAAGGATGCAACATACAATACTGCATCTCAAAATTTTGCTTTTAATAAATTCTTCAATTTCACTCTCTCTGGTTTCAAAAACAGGCATTGCAGTCTGAGCTATACATCCCAGAGACTGAAGTACTGCCGGTAAATGTGTCTTTTCCTCCAGCATGTCCACAAGGCTCTGCAAATTGAGCAAAGAAACTATAGGTTAGGCAAATATGTCAAGGAAATGCTATTTGTAATGTTTTTTAAAACACACATTTCGAATAACTGAAGTATCGTGTAACCTTATATAAAACAGAGAGAGATTTGAGTCCATCATCCTTTGTTATTGCTCCCAGTGCATGCACTGCATACTTGGCCTGTCTCCGATTACCTTCTAAACAAAGCCTCTCCAATATAAGATCAATTGAACTGCAAACAACCATCACAAATATGTTAAGAATAAGGGTAACAAACTAACTCTAACAAGTCAAGTATCCCAAAGTAGCACCTTGATGACACTGCAAGTTGTTCTCGGATGGTACTACCAGCCTTAGACAAAACATGCAAAATGCCTTCTTTTATAGTTTCATTGTCATCTTTCAGAAAATTAATCAGTTCTTCTTCAGCTCCACCAAGAAGTGATGGACTAAATCGCGCAAGAATCTGAAAAGCAGCAAAAAGACATAAAAAATGAAACTAGAATATGTTCCCAAGAGGAGAAAGAAGAACATAAACTTCATAGGACAAATGTTGAAGGCACTAAAATTGCATACCCCTAATAACAAGGTGAACTGGAGCATAGGAAAAGAAAAACACTCGCAAAAACAAAGACCAAATGAAATTGAACAGCTGGGACTTGTACACGCCCAGAAAAACAAGTTTCATAGGGATACAAATTATTACCACAAGTATATTCATGCAAGACCGAATGTATAGTGTGTTTCCAGCAGACTTCTGTACAGTAACCTCCAGGAGGATTTCTTTCACATGCTCCTTGTTAAAAAGTAGATAAGAACACTTCAGAGAGAGCATACTCAGAAAATCATAGAGTTGGTGACTCTCAGAAAGTATTTTAAGCAATTCATCCTGCAATTCACAAACATATGTATGTATCACAAATAAATGGTACAATGAAAGAAGTTAAAATGTAAAAACTTAGATTTCATGGGTCAAACTACTTGTCATAATTCATATCCCCAAAACCAAACAGAAGTTCACTTATAAGCAACATCCCATTTAAATTTGCATTTGCCAATATCTTAAAACCTACCCGACCACTAAAAGCTTGATGGAAGCTGGTATTGGGATCCAATAGATTCAATAAAATCTTCCAGATGTTAGAATCTTTCAACCGATCAAGTGTCTGAAAACTCTCTTCAGCCTTCACAGGATCAGAAAAAGAACGGGAAATGATTTGGAAGCTAAATAAAACTTTCTTTTGTATTTCAGGAGCATCACTATCCTGCATTGGAGAAAGAACCGGTTATTTCAATTTAACAGTTCATAGAAGTGTAAATTGTGTGCTTTAGGATATTATTTCATCTTTCAAAGATTCAAACCTGATGCCTCTGCCTTAGAGAGAGATACCTCTGCATCTCTTGCTGTAACCTGCAATCCAACAGGAAACTCCCACAGGTCAGTTTAAAATCTGTTAAATGCACAACTGAAGGGTAAGTTAGTCAGATACCATATATGAAAGCAACTATAATATACCTTTGCTTCTGTTCTAGCATCCTCTCAAGTGCCTTGATCTCAATTTTGTCAAACCCAGAGAAAACTCTTATCCAACATTTAACTTTATCTCTGATTGAGAATTCAGTAGGAAATAGGGATCCACATAAAACAGATTCGATCGTTTCTGACCTGCAGAGCAGATTTATATGTTACAAATGTTATGATTATGCAGAGCAAACACCCAACAAAAAGACACAGCAGAAAGCTCTTTAAATCTTCAACTTAGCATTTTACCATAGGAAAACAGTGCACTCAGGTACTAATAAAAATAATTAATAGATTACTAATTCATCTTATTACATGCGCAAGAATAAATAAATAATCATGATAAGGAAAATTTACACAAACAAAATTTTCAGTTTATTTTGCATGGCTTTCATTGAAGATATTGTTTTACACAACTAAAAGTGATGAAAATATAGCATACCTCCAACTCTAAGCTTCAATCTTTCCTAATAAGAGATCTAAATGTATTAACTAAATAGCCCCTAAAATTTGAATGATGAGGAAAAACAAAGATAAATAATGTGATATATTCTGAACAAGTGCAAAATTAATCCTTGCAAGTTTCTCAAATGACTTGCCTGAAATCTTTGTCATAGAAACACCTAAATATCTTCCCAGGTATCCAATCAAATTCGTAACGATCGATCGAGCCATCAGAGCATCCAGCACAAGAAACTCTGAACACCTCAGCCAGCCTTTCCATAGTATATTTTTTAACAAGCAGCTGCACATTCCAAACAAAAGAAAAAGTTATATGCATTAGGTAAATATCACTGGATACAGAAGCAGTAATAACAGTAATCCAAGAAGTACAGGAACATACAGATTTGTCTCGAAGACGCTCCGCAACTAGTTTTATAGTCCCAACAGGAACGGAAACAAGAGAATGACAAGCAACGTCACAAATTACATCCACAACTTGCTTCCGAACATTTTCATCATAGTCTAAAAGCCGATCACATAGTGCAGCTAGAAAATGCAGAACAAAATCAAAATTAGCTAACACAAATAATTATATATTATAAAAATGAAAAAAAACTCACAGATAATTCGTGGTGCCTCAGGTCTCGAAGGATCCGACAACAGACAGATCTTAACATTTCCGATGACGGACATTCGAACATCAACAACTCTATCAGTTAACCTCTTCAAAAATTCTGAAAATATTGGCTGAAACGCTTCAGATATGATAGAGCCAGGCAGTGCAAAGAGGGAACCAACCAATCTCACAGCTTTCAAACGAGTGTCTATTTGATCAGTCTGCATATATAGGAACTTATAGCCCTCAGAACTGTTCATCAACTTCAACCATCGTTGAATTCATTTTCCTTAAAATAAGACTATAAATGTGACAAATCCATAATAAAGAGGACTAGAGATATTTCCTCTGTTTCTCTATCTACGGAGTTATGTGATGGGGTGATTTGGAAAGGTACTGGAGATGGGGTGTACACTGTTAAATCTGGCACTAAGATTTGTTCAGCCATTATTTCGGATTCAGAAGAGGTATATTTCTGGAAGAATATTTGGAGGGGCCAGATTCCACCTAGAGTGGAGTCCTTTATGTGGCAGGTGGTGTTAGGGAAGTTGGCTGTTAGGACAAAACTTGTTAAAAGGGGAATTCAAGGAATTGTAGACATTATGTGCCCTCTTTGTAAGAGGGAGGTGGAGTCTCCCTCGCACTTGTTTTTCACGTGTTCGGTGGTGTGGACGATTTGGAACAAATTTCTGAATTTCTGGAAGATCAAGTCTGTTTTCATGTTAATGCTAAAAACTTCCTACTTGCTTGGGCTGATTTGAAGTCTACCTCTACAATTTGGTCTTTTATTCCTGGGGCAGTTCTTTGGACTACTTGGAAAGTTAGGAATCTTATTGTGTTTGAAGGGGGAAAATTGGATTTGGCTGAGTATTTTTTCCTAGCAAGGATTAGACTAGCTTCTTGGTTCCTTGCTAAGTACAAAGAGGTGTCTATTCCTAAGGATTCTCTTATTTCAGACCCTTCATTAGGGGATTTGTGCTCTCTCAATTCTAATCGGTTTGCAACTAAATTTCCTTGGTCTCCTCCTCCTCAAGGTTTCGTAAAGTTAAATGTTGATGCGGCTACTACAAGAGATTGGAAGAAGAGTGGGATATGAGGTGTTCTAAAGAACTCCTCGGGTTTGACTTTAAGTTCTTTCAAGGAATCTGCTGGTCCGGGTCCCCCAACTTTTATGGAATTAAAAGCTATACAGAAGGGTCTAATGTTCTATGCGAATTTACGAGAGAGGAAGGGTCGTCTGATTATTGAAAGCGACAGCAAAGTGGCTGTAGACTGGATTAAGGAAGTGGATTTAGTTCCTGATGTTTATGCTTTTTTGATTAAAGATATTGTTCACAGGCTTAATGTTTTAGAAGGTGTTGTCAGATGGGTTAATAGGACAGCCAATTTAGAGGTTGATGCCTTAGCTAAAGAAGGAATTGGTTGATTCTGTGTTTATAGTTTGGATGTTTTATGGCTGTTTCGAGTTTATTTGGTTGGTGGGGTGTATAATGGTTGTATCTTATGAATTTTATGGTTCAATAAAATCCTAAGGCACTCTTTTCCTCCTTCCGCTGATTAAAGAGTTCCTATAAGCTCCATTAATCAAGAAGGGGGTTTTTAACGAGGCCTGAAATTCTTATAAAAAAATAATAATAATAATAATAAAGAGGACAAACAAAGTCCCCATTTCCATTTTCCACTAAGGCTGAACCTAAACTCTCCAGAAAGATTTCATCCTCGAAAATCTTTAAGAACTATTTTAGAATATAATTTTTTTCTCAAAAAAAATGTCTTCAAATGGAGAACAAAATCTTAATGCAGTAAAGTAATTAGTAAAAATGAAAAACAATGATTGTTTTCATACCAACAGCTCTCCTGTGAGGTATGGGATAACTCCTGACAGTATCTGAGAAGCACAATGATAAATATCATAGATAACTTCATGATAGTCAATTTCACTTTTTACCGGCTGATTATCTCCAGACATCACTGAAATAAGAAACTGTTTTATGCCAGCTTCAAGTTTTTCTGAACACTGCTCTATAACATTCATAGCAAGTCTCCTGGCAGCTTGTGTAACACCCTGAATTATAGATTCGAGAAATAAATTCCCTTCCAATTAAGAATTACAGCTTCTAAGGAATAAATAGAGGAAGCCACACAATCTTTAAGCAATAAGCTGATAGTAAGCATGAAATTCTTACACTTTTATTACGACCTAGTGCAGACAATATAACAAGCAAAAGATCATCACGAACATCTTCACTCTCTTCTACAACCACAGTCATGATTGTTTGCATGGATGATAAAACACTTTCTGGATGATCATCCCTGCAATAAGTAGTAAAACCAGACTTTCATTCCATGGCAATTCAAAATATAAAGTAAAAAGATATACACAACCTGGAGATTCCTACTGTAAAAGCAACTTAATGGAAGATTACACTTTCAAGCACCAATCCAACCACAAGATAAACATGCATATATGTATAGATATGATCAAGATACATACAAGAACAAGGTTGCAGGCATATCTTGGCCACTACAGTGAAATACTAAGCCCAATACCATATTGTACCATAGAACCATTTCAAATTTCTACATTCAACAATAATAAAAGCATTCATGTTACTTGCAACGCATATGTAGAACTAATGAGCAAATGGTAATGAACATTTTATTAATAAGATTATCGCATTCAAGATCCAACATCACAAAGCAAGCACTTCCCTTAAAAACAGTAATTAAATACTGGAACAAAACATACCTGACAACAGCAAAAAATGTACTGAACATTTCGTTAACCAAATCATCACATTCAAGATCCAACATCATAACACAAGATCTGTATTTCGCAAGTGTCTCCAAAATTACAACTCTCCTTCCAAATGATGGACCACTCGTATCACTCAATCCATTGAAAGTGCCAACAATCAAGTTAAAAATATCCTGAAAGCATGCCACATATCAATCACCAGAAGTTCAGTTGAAAGCTTATTAGTTTCTAGGAAAATCTAGACCAAAAACAGTAAACCTTCAAGAAACAAAAGCACCTTTAGAATATCATCACTATAAGGTGCATCAGGTGCAGTTATCCGAGTTATCTCACAAATACAGGTTGCAACTAGAAGTTCAGTATCCTGATCTTGATGCTTCAGCAGTTCTGGCTTGACAATCGCATTAAGCAGAAGCTGCATTGATTCCATTGTTGATGATGGCGGAGACTGATCAATCTCAGAAAGACATGTAGCAGCTTGCTGCGGATTAGAGGAAAAAATTCATGATATGTACCAAACAACCAAATTAAAAGACTGCAGCTGACTTTGATACACATAATACACATTAATTCACAAGTTCAAGCATCTAACAAGGTGTACAAGATTCATGAAGTAGTACATGCTACCATAGACCCAACTGTCTTAGCACATATGTCCACTCACCAGTGGTAGATGTGTGCAAGTAACATGATTCATGAAGAATTGACGGCCATCATGATAGTTTTAGGAACATACCCAGCTCCGATACCATGTAGTTTTGGAGAATTCTTTGTTTTCTATTTCTTAACTCTGTTACAGAAAGAGAGTCTTTATCTTTTAAAGGACCTCTTTGTACAAGAAGTATAACCTAGGTTAAATTCTATTTAAAATTTAAATCAGAGATAAACTAGGAGACTTATCCTAAACTAACGATTTACAAATAGTAACATAAATCTTATCTACAATTCATAGAATGTATGTGAAATAGGCAAGAATAAAAGCAAATGTAGGAAAACAGCCGTACAACCATTAAGAATTACCAATCAATGCCAGAGTCGTATAATGCCTTTAAAAACGAAATGCATAATCAGTGATTCAAACAAATTCAACGATAATATATCTAAATTTTCCACCATACCACCAACAAATTTGAGTCAATAAAAATAAAAGAACTAACATCTTTCATGCAAAACAGGATAACACTTTAGGTCATAACAAGTTCAACTTTTGCGATTCCATGCACCATGTGAGACCAAAATAAAACCAATCCATATTCGGCAAAATCACTTTGGTCTATGTTCAAATAAGACAAGAATTCTTTGAATAGCTAGTTGGTATTGCTTGAGTAACCTAACTACCCCATTGATAGACATTTGTTTTATCAACAGAAACTTAATCATTCACAAATAGAAGGAACAACACAATGATTTTTTACTCAAGTGCACAGTAGAGCAACGGGCCTTCGACTACGGAAAAAGTAATCCAATGTAATAAAATATGAAACAAGGGAGGAGGGAGGGTAAGACAACATTTTACATGAATTGACATCAGTAAAGATTAGTAAGCTTCCGTAGAGAATTTTAAGGATAGAACCCATAACCTAACAGAAGGTAGAAATTTAATGCAGCCAATCGAACTAATCCCAAATCTAGGTTGAATTCTTTTCAAGGCTGATTATGTTCACCATAATACAGTTTAAAGCCCTTTGCAAACCCGATGATGATTCCAAACTAAGGTCAGACCCACATTTTCCATTTTTGGCATACTTATGTTCTTGATGTACGGAGGTTATCAATCATTCAAACTTGTAGGGGGGGAAAGTCAAACACAGTCCAGGTCTTTAGGCATAGCACATTGCATCTGATTTAGGTCCTGGTTCACTACCTAGGACTAGGAGAACCATAATGTGTGAAGACAGCAGAACTACTTGGTAAAAGAACAATAGAACATCCTAATACAGGAACCAACAGCTTGAATTAACTCAAAAGAACTGCTGACCTAAACTTCATGTCGTGTAGCAAATTAAGGACATACAAATATACAATACAAGTGGAAACTCTGGTTAGCTGGAAAAAAGAGGACATAACATGTAACTAAAGAGAAACCTAGTGAATTGTGGAAACAACCCTAATTCAAATTACGAACGAACTTTAGCTAAGCAATCTAATTCAGGTTAAACAGACGGTTACAACCTTGAAACCTAAAATACTACGCGGAGAAAACAGCTTAGGCTTGAAATAACCCTAGCGAAACTAGGAAGTTCAGTGGGAAAATAATTAAGTTAAAGAATGCGTGCCTTTAAGAGCTTGAGAAGTGCGTCCTTGGAGGATGGAGGAGATTCCAGCTTGGATCCCAGCTCCTTGAGCTGCTCTTCCAGCTTCTCCGACATTTGTTATTCGCAATTTCTGCTTGCAAAGCAACGCAGCAGCTTCGTCTCCTGCTCTATCTCTCTCACTGTGTAGCTCTCGGCACCAGCTGAATGAGTCGCGAACTCGATAAGATGAGATATAAAACAAAGAAACTAAAAGGGATTATGGTTTTTAGGATTCTGGCTCTCGCCCCGCCTCTGGGTTTCGGGATTCCAGGCTTTAGATTCGAAATTGAAACACCTCAAATGAGCTCTAAATGCAACTTAAATTCCCCTCCAAATGCTGATTTCAGCTTTCGTCCATGTAACTTAGGTTAAACTACGGTTTAGTAGCTAAACTATTATTTTTGTTCTATTTTGATATCTAATCTTTATTTTATTTCAAAATCATACATAACGTTTAGTTTAGGTTTCATTTTGGTGTTCACCGTTAAAAATTTAATAGTAATATTGATGTATCATCATAAGATAATCTCACATCATCATTGAAAAATATTAAAAAATATTACTTCAGTGATTTTGTTAATTTTTTTAACGGAGGCTTATTCGACTTTAAGAGAGAACACTCTGAGCAACTGCTCAAGACCCAATCTTTTATAGGACCCCATATTTTTTTATCATATTTTATATTTTTATAATTGAGGTCTTTTTTAAATAAAAAAAAATTCTCTTTATAATTGAAACCCCTAATTTTTAAATCTCACTTTTTACATTTATAATCGAGATTCAAAGTCCTTTATTTTTTTCAATCCCACTTTTTACTTTCATAATTAAGGCCCCTGTTTTTTTTAATCTTATTTTTTACCTTTATAATTTAGGCCCCTAATTTTTTCAATCTCACTTTATTACCTTTATAATTGAAGTCCCTAATTTTTTTAAGCTCACTTTTTACCTTTAGGCCCCGTTTGGTTTAAGGAATGTTGTATTACCGGGGGAATAGAATCCTCATTCCCCCGTTTAGTTGGCCGGTAATCTCATTCCCAGTAATCTTTTATTACCAACAGTGGATTTTTTTTGGGTATATTACCGGGAATGTAATTACCTCCTTTCCCTTAGGTATTATTGGATTACCGGCGTTTTGAACTAAAATGCCCTTAAAAAAATTCAAAAAATATCCTTCTTCTGTCGTTGAATAATAAAAATTCTACGAAGGTTAAATTACAAATTTATCCTTAAAACTACTTTAGATTTACAAAAAAAACTATAATTAAAATTTTATATGAAGTTCAGGGGTTAAAATAAAATTTTACCCTTTCATTAAACCTATTTTTCTTTTCAATTTTGTAAAAAAATATATGAATTTTATGAATTTAAATTTTTAAAAAATATATATAAATTAATTATAGTAATATTATAGTATAATTCAACTTGTTAAAAAAATAAATATATAATAAGGATAATTTGGTCAAATATACATTCCAATAATCTTTTATTCCTTTAACCAAACATGGTAATCTTACATTCCTATTAAATCAGCCAAACACAAAATACAACATTCTCATTAATCATATTCTCTGATAATCTTTTATTCCCACTGGTAATCTTACATTTCGTGAACCAAAAGCACCCTTATAATTAAGGCCCCTAATTTTTTTCAATCTCACTTTTTACTTTTATAATTTATGTCCCTAATTTAATAGTTTTTCTAATATTTATTAATGTAATAATTGTTCAAAGTAATAGAATATACTTTCGTTCTATAAGAATCTATTATTTAGTTTCGCTTAAGGCCCCAAAAATGTTTGAGACAGCTCTGAACGACGGGATACTAAATTAAAATCTAAACTAAACGATAAGTACGGATTTAAAAAAATAATGGTTGGGATACCAAAACAAAACAAAAGTAATGGTTTAAGTAATAAAAGTGTAGTTTATCCTATAATTTATTGTAATATTTTATTTATTTATTTATTTATTGTTCTTTTTCATTGAAAGTTACGAAGGGGACCTTGAGATTGGAGTTATCCATTTGAAAATACTTTTTTTTTTGGCAACAATGAAAGCAGTGCCTATTATGTCAAGGTTGAGAATGTGCCGAATCTCATCAGGAGGGTTATGAAGTTCCTTCCCATGAGTACCAATGCATCTGCAACTTCGTTCGCCTCTCATCTACCGTATGAGAGCTTCACATTTAACTAATTTTGGAGAAGCTTACGAACCGAACCTTTCGAGTTATTAAAGCCTCATGCAGATGTGGTGCGACATTGAGAGTACCCACAGCTTCTTTGTTGTCGAACTCCGCCTCAACGTCTCTAATGCTTTGATTCCACGCTAAAACTAGCTCATCAAATCATGCCCAGAGTTCGGCTTGAAACGCTTAGCAGCGACCAATGTTTCGATGAAACCCAACTAGCCATTGCCCAATGTTGTCCCTAAGAATTCCTCGGCCTGTAGCATTCATGGTTCTTGGACCGACAGCTCCATCATTGTTTAGCTTAACCGTTCCAACTTTGGGGGGCGCCATCGTTGCCTTGTGTTTTGTTTGACGCCACTTTGATGGTTATCGCAATGATTGGTTTTAATGGTTTGAGCTTAAATCCGTGCGAATTGAGTGATTTTCATCGATGATCACACTTGTCTATTAAAGATAAAATTATTACGTTGTTTCAATGATCTCCATAAAATTTTCTCGAAGATATGCCTCCAATGATAAGCATCACGATCAAGTATTGTAGTTGTAAAGAGATTATTATGAATTCTATCAAACAAAGACACATAATAAAATGTATAAAATATTATTTGGAATAAATTGCTCCCAAACCATTCTCGCCGTCGGACAATCTCGAAGGACGTGGAATATGGGTTCTTCACGATCTCGACACACCTGATACGTCGATTCCGCGGTTAGGTCTCGTTTCGCTCGGTTGGTGTTTGTCATTAAACGGTTGCGAAATACAAGCTAAAGAAATTGTTTCACCCGTTGCGGACCATTGAACTCCCACCCCAAATTCTACAGCTTTATTATTGTTATTATTAGGTTAAAATACACCTTAGGTCATTCAATTATTAGTTTGATTACAAATGTGTCATGTTTTTACTTAAAAATACAATTTAATCACTCAATCAAAATATTACTATAATCAACTAACTAAGCTGTTAAAAATGAAATGAAAGTCTAATGTAATTAAATTTAATAAAAGTTTTAGCCTCTAAAATTAACACAACTCATCAATTTAATCTCAATTCAAAATATCAATAATTTAATTTTTTATATTTAAAAATTCTATCTATTTAATTATTTTTTAATATTATTAAATCAAATGAAACCATCATATCAAAGTAATAATTGATAACTACATTCTACAGTATATCAACAAGGTATTGCTCTTGTTGGGGCAAATCTGGTTTGTAACCTTATATTCATACAAACCCCATGACTCGAAATTAAGAAAGAGGTATCTTCCAAGTCTACATCGAAAATATATTCCATATGAAATATTTTGTCAACTCTCCTACATGGTGTCTAAAACAAAAAATACAATATCTACGTCAAAAAAGTTCAACATTATATAAGATCTTGAGAGTAATTCTAAGCAACATAAAATTAATAAAACATTTATGAAAGAATAACAAATCATAAAAAAATTGAATAAGTTACGAGGAAAAATAAGGTTAATTTGATGGATTTTAAATATGAAAGATCAAATTTATTAAATTAAGACCAAAATGATAGAATATAAACTTTTAAAGAATTGCTATTATTACTATTTGGTTAATATTTAACATTTCAGAGCCACTTACTTATAATAATGTTTTAATCGAGTGATTAGATTTTTTTTTTAGAAAAAGACTAGACATATTTATAACCTAACTGATAATGGATTGACATAGGGAGCATTTTACCCTTATTATTATGTGCAAAATACATTGATTCTGTAAAAAATTGTGTTGAGAAGTATAATACATTAGGTATGCGTGCATTATCGTGACTGATAAGCATTTAAGAAAATCCTCCTGACTGATAATTGAGTGGCATGGTCTGTTTCTCTTTTAACTAATCACATTTATTTAGACCCAAGTAACCCTTTTAAGTTATAGACTATATAGAGTGAAGCATTGGGGTTGGGTAGCCATGATCAAGATGCCGTTGGTGGTGGCAGCCACCTCCTGCTGTTCCTCCGAGGAAGGGATTATATGTAGAAGAAAATTGCAATATTGTTAATTTCTTGAGGAAAAACAATGGTCATCCAATCGACACACATGGCAAAATAAGAAGCAGTTTTCAGCTGATGTTTTAGGTTAAACAGCCAACTGATTTCTCATATAGGAATGAACACAACAGGAAGGATTGTCAATGACTAGAAAAAAAATGGACAAATACGTAGATTCTAAGCTCTAAACCACAGCCAACTGATTTCTCATATAGGAATGAACACAACAGGAAGGATTGTCAATGACTAGAAAAAAAATGGACAAATAAGTAGATTCTAAGCTCTAAACCACAGCCAACTGTTTTCTCATATAGGAATGAACACAACAGGAAGGATTGTCAATGGGTAGAAAAAAAATGGACAAATAAGTAGATTCTAAGCTCTAAACCACAGCCAACAGATATCTCGTGACTGCCTCATAATCCGTTTTAAAAACCAGTCCTCGTTTGCCTCAACATTTTGTGCATTTTAGGCTTTCAAGATCCCTGCAGTCACAGCCATCCTTAAATGTGTTGAATCCCATCTTAATTTATCAGCATTTGTTACCTTTCAAGCTTTCACCATTGTCTGCGTTTTCAACTTTGGTGCAGTTCAAATGGTTCACTTGACTACTGAATCCATTCTTGTACAGCATGTGCAAATCATGGAAATATGCGCATCTCTTACTGTTTTCTAGATGCTTCTTGCCACTTACCATCGACTTTCTGAAGTATTTATTGATATTTTCCCATTTCTCTTTACACTTCTTTGCACTTCGGGAGTAACCCATATTGTACATCCCGACAGATATCTCGTCCCATATGGAGCACTTTGAGCCTGAGACGTGAAATTTGTGTTCCAAAGTGCTTCGAAGCATTATCAGCGCTTGCACTTCCGCATCTGGCCATCTCCTATTATTTGGATCACAGATGACACCTCCGTCTCCATCGACATGTTTTTCAACCACGTTGGCTTGCATTGTCCCTTTCTGCCATCTATTATTTGTTGGACCAAATGGATTAATCAGGTCCTTTTGAATGTGATCTTCACTCAAGTCTTTACCTCCATTTTCCTCCGTGCATGACATTGTTGACGGCATCGGTATTTCAATTTCATGGCCCAAAGCATTCTGGATAAAGGAAATGAGAGCTATGCTACGGGACATCTCTTGAGCTCTTGCCTCCTCGTCCCGTTTTATCCTTTCCATCTCCTGCCGTTTCCATGCTTCCTCTCTATTTATTCTCTCTCTTTCCCTCTTCTCAACCATCTCTAATAATTGCTTGTGCATCTGTTCCTGCTTATCCATCATTTTCTTCATTAATTTTTCCAAGAAAATTTCATCTTTTTCTGTTCTTTTCCGCTTCCTATTTTTCTTTAAAGGTGCATTCAAGGTTGCTGACGAATCATCACCATAACTATCCGAAGATGATTTGCTGAAACAAGGAAAATATCACATGACATTCAGTTGGTTTGACAGCTATGGTCATGAATTTGTCAAAATAGGCTTCAAACTATACAAAAACCGACAAATAAACTCGATCAACTTTTCACCTTTTATAAAATTTTATTAGATCTACACACCCAATTTTGGAACACCCTTTCACAAAGCCGAACAAGAATGCCATGTCACCCTATGAAAAGCAGGAACTAAAGAAAGAACTCAAGAGTCTTCCATAAAACAGCAAGTGATAACAGATCAATTGATCAGCTTGTAAAGTCGGCCATAAAATAGTTTCCAAGTAAAATCATCAAAGTTTAAAATTACCCGAGTCAACTTACTACTAAAGGACCACTCCCATTTAATTTTCACCCGAATTCAGTAAAACCCCAATAAACTCTTACCAATATTACAAAACTAGGAAGTTGAACATGACAGGACAGGATGCTGTACATAAAACATCAAATGTTATGCTCTGTACTGTAGATTATTTTCCCATGTGATCCAATAAAAGTAAAAGCCACAAACATTCACATGGAACAAATAAAAAGGGCTTTACTAATAATATTGTATCAAATGCAATAGTTCAAGATGACACTTTATCCATCATTTCCAGTTCCATGCTACTTAACCTTGATCAACTACAGATATAGTTGGGGTCTCAGACCCAGAAAAACAAAAACAATACAAAGAAAATCAAAATCTCGTCAAATTAACTTAAAACAAGTTATATTCCAAATTATTATTCATACGTTGGTTCCAAACATTAGCATAAAAAAGAAAACAGGTTTCCCAGGAAAATTCAACAGACATGAAAAAGAAAATACTCAAAAACTCAAATCAAAGGAGATAAATAACCCAATCTAACATTTACTTGAGGTTGCCATTAACATTAGCTCAAATGTACTTGTCCTAGATAATGTGGACATAGGATAACAATCATTGCTTGTCAAGTCGAGGGATAAGGGATAAGGAGATTGATGCCCCTTAAACAAGGTTTCCCGTCCGAGTCTTCTACATAGAAAAAAGTGCACTGAAAGAGCTTCCCATTTAACAATTCAACCCAGCTCAACTCCAGATATAATAGGGATCCATGTAGCTACGGGGCACCTTGTGTCTCTTAAGATAACAATTAGATAATGCTAAAATGCACCAACTTACTAGTTCTTTTGGGGGGATTATTCAGTATTCCAACTTCAAAATTAAATTTAAAAATGATCTACCTAACCCAATTGAATCAGCTGTATATTACTTCTTTTCTGATGGATGGATGTGCATTCCAACGTGTCAATGGACACCATATTAATACATTGGTATCCTATATAAATTCCTTCTTATATGGTTAGGCTACATACATACATGAAATAAAGTCGATACTTTTAACCAAAATAAGGTAATGTAGTGGAAGAAGGAATAAGCATACATACCCTGAAGGCTCTTCTCTCTGCTCCGAGCTTGGCGGCTCCTCTAACCCACCGCCGCCGCAGCCGACAGTACCCATCACGTCACCAACTTCGGCTTTAATAGGAGGTACCAAGTAGTCAAAGGAATCTCCATTTACAGCGCAGACATCATCACCTACGAGTTCAACTGCCTCAACGAATTCCAAGGGATCCTCCGCCTGTGAGCTCGCCTGTGACCTGCCGTTGTACCTAATCGGACGCAGCTTCTGAGGCGGTAGATTTGGCCGGTGATTATCCATCACCATGTCCTCCGCGGATTCAATCATTGCCGTTAAATCAGGAAAAGGCGCCACGTGTTGAGGGAAAGCTTCCCGGCCGCTGGTGAAAAGCTCCATCCTTTTCTCTTCACGGTAAAATCAACAGAAATTACTTCTAGTAAATATAAACTACAGCATAATAGTTCAAATAAATTATTACTATCACTAGCCTAAAAAATGAATCAAAAAAGGGGCGGCGGACTGAGGGTTTGGTTTCGGAGTTTGGGTGAATGTTATTAGTAAATTCAAGTAAAAAGGGTAAAATGAATATAAAAAGGGCAAAGCTTGGGGCTGCAAAAATTACGACTTTTACCCATGGTTTGCAGATAATTCCGTGTTTGCCCCCTTATGCTTACGTGTCAGTCCCTCTTAGCTTTCAGCTCAGCTTCCCTTCCCGTTCCAATAAAACATGAAATTCCCAGAAACGACAGTTGATTTGGTTACATCCAGAGTGTCGTTCATGCCTGCCCATTGCTGTGCCGGCAGCTTGTTTGTTTTGCCAATCGCCAACAGCCATGCTTAACTCCACAAGTATGAAACCAAAATAAACATGCTATTAATAGCATCTTATTTGATTTATATTATTACTAAAATGACAGTATATATAACAATAATTGAATAAATAATTGAATCAAAATGTTGAAAAGGCTTGGTTTCTCAATCACAACCAGAAATCTGTGGTCTTTTTTCGGATTTGGTTTTCCCCCAAATTTGGCATCTTGCACTTCACTTCAGCTGCCTTCATCTTCCACAGGTATGTACCCAAAATGAAAACTTTAATCAAGTTTATAACCTTTTTTCCCCTGTAAGAATAGGAAAAACGATTACAAATTCTGGGTTTTTCTTTTTAAGTAATAGTTTCTTATTTGGATTTAATACTGTATGGCTTTTCAGTTTGGAATATGTTTTGATTTGTTGCAGCTGTGTTTAGAACCAGAACCGGAACCAGATTCAGATTCATGTCAGCATCAACGAATTCAACGCCTGTAAATGAAAAAGGTGAACAAGTATTGCAAGATTTTAAACTACTCGATGCAGTCAATGATAGATATGGAGGAGTGGTTGTAGAAGTGACAGTGCCCTTGGAGTCTACCCTCTTTACTTCAATGCTTAGAGCTTCAATAGCACAATGGCGACAACAGGTTTTCTTCTTACCCTCTTCAACATTTTCTATAATTTCAGCATAATCGTCTCCAATGATGATGATATCATCTACATAAACAATAAAAATAACTTTCTTCTTCCTTGAAGTTACCTTTACAAACAATGTATGATTTGTCTGACACTATTTATAACCATTTTTAACTACTTTGATGAACCTCTCAAATCAAGTCTTAGGAGATTGTTTCATGCCATAAAGAGACTTTTCGAGCTTGCACATCATTTGAGTTTTTATGTTTACTTCCATTTCTGGAGATAGTCTCATGTGCACTTCTTCTAGATTTCCATTTAAAAATGCGTTCTTGATATTTAGCTGATTTAGTTCCCAGTCTTCATTTACAGTTAAGCTGAGTAAAACCCTAACTGTATTAAGTTTGGCTACTGGGGCAAATGTTTCATAGTAATCAATGTCATAGGACTGAGTAAAACCCCTAGCCACCAAGCCTTGTCTTGAACCTTTCAACACTGTCATTTGAATTGTACTTCACTGTAAACACCTACTTACAACCAATAGGATTCGTTCCTTGTGGCAACTCAGTTAGGGTCCAAGTCTTGTTGCTTTCTAGTGCTCTAATTTCTTCCTCAACAGCCTTCCTCCATCTAGGATCGTTCAAGGCCTCCTCCACTTTTTCAGGAATCTGAATTTTATCTAATATGGCTATAAATGCTTTAAAAGAAGACATTAAATTCCCACATGCAACAAACCTTTGTATAGGATGGTTTGTGTATTTCTTTATCCCTTTTCTCTAAGCAATAGGTAAGTGAATATCATCCTCAAAAGGAACAAAAATTTCACTAGGAGATGATGAATTATTTTGACTTCCTTTCTTAGTGGCAATTGAACTCAAGTCTAACTCTTGGCAAATTCAGGTTGTGTGATGTCCTCTGAGATGGACTTTTGCTTTTGCCTTCTCCTATAAACACTAAGTTGTTTTCTCTCAAGTGGGACTTGGTTACTTGAGGAGTTTTTGGGGAATTTTGGCTCAGTGGAGGTGTTCAAGGAATGTTTGGAAGGACAAGTTCTGGAAGAGATGATTGCAGTTCGGGTGGAGACATTCTGGTGCTGTTGGAAGTTGAGAAATAGACTGCAAATTCGGTGAAAATGAAGATTGAAACACAGGTTGCAATTCGAAAGAATTTTGAGAAGACTAGAGATTAGTGATGGTCTGAAATTCACTCAAATTCTCCTCCTGAATTTCAGTCTTAGCAACAAAAAAAAGAGTATGTTCAAAAAATATAACATCCATGGATATATAAAATTTTTGTGTGACAGGAGAGTAACATTTGTAACCTTCTTAATTGAAGAATAGCCAAAAAATATGCATTTGACAGACTTTGGATCTAACTTAGACCTAGATTGGTGATGGCTGTGAACAAAAGCATTACATTCAAACACTCAAGAAGGGAGTATAGAAGACATGGGCCGGAAATAAGGAAATTTTTTGAGGAATATTTCTCTAGATGTCTGAAACTTTAAAGTTTTGCTAGACATCCTATTGATTAAGTACGTGGCGGTAAGAAGTCTCTCTCCCCAAAAATGTTTAAGGAAGGTTACCAGAAAAATGTAAGGACCTATTAACTTCTAAAAGCTGTTGGTTTTTCCTCTCAGCAATCCCATTCTGTTAGAAAAAGTAAGGACCTAGTAACTTTTAAAATATGTTAGTTTTTCCTCTCAGCAATCTCATTCTATTGTTTTAACATGAGAATGAGGAAGTGACTTTATAAAGTTTTAGAGCAAGGTAATATCTCCTGTCATATAATCGGATGTCCCAGAGTTGACAATCCATATTCCCAAGCCATTGTTATTAATCATAGAGGCAAAGGAAAAAAATATCTTCATGAGCTGTGAAACCCAAATTGGAATTACTGTCTCGAGGGATGTATTGGTTGTCATTTGGGTAGGGTTTAAAGGATCGACTAACCTAAACTGATACCATATAGAATAGTGATATGTGCAGAGAAGAAGATCATATTTCTCTGTATTTCTTGATTCTTCTATTGATAAAAGTGATACCTATTTATAGGTTACAAAGAGAGTTTAATATAGGAAAAATTACACAAAATTAGCAATTAAATCCCTAAATGTTAGCAGCTAGATATTTGGGAATATAATTCCTTAATTTTCAGCAATCTATTCAATCTACATTCTACAACTTGAAAGTTCCTGCTTTCTAGGCATTTAACAATAGTTCCATATCTTGAGATGTTTTATCAGTTATGCAGTTCTATGTTTCTCTATGAATCATGTAAGAACATGTTTTGCAGGGGAAAAGGGGTGTGTGGATCAAATTGCCTATTCAGCATTCCAATCTTGTTGACCCTGCTGTCAAGGTAATTTATGTCATTTACAACCTAATCGAACTGGTTTCTAGAAAGCCGTTTCGAAAGCTAACTTGATAGCTGCCGCTTCTATTATTTCTTTGAGTCATATCTTATGTTACTACTGTATTGATGCACAGGAAGGATTTTGGTATCACCATGCTGAGCCGAATTACTTGATGCTTTGTTATTGGATTCCTGAAGGTACACATACTCTTCCTGCAAATGCTTCACACAGGGTGGGCATTGGTGCATTTGTCATGAACGAAAAGAGAGAGGTGATTCCCCAATTCCTTGTGGCTTGTCATTTATTAATAGATTATATCGATAGCCAATTCGCATAAGATATTTCATTATGGATGATTTTAACTTGTATGATTAGACATAGTTTTAATTGCATGATTATTTTTAATGTCAATGATCTTCATTTTTGTTTCTCTATGAATACCAACAATATGCTTTGGAAGGACAAAGAGTTAAATTAATTTATTGAAGCAGTGTGCTGCTAATCTTACCTTAGGAACAAAATAATATCAGAACTCTTGTTTTTTAATTTTTTAGATGGTAATAAACTATACATGGATTTACAATTTTGTAGGACTATAACATTATTTGTATGGTTCAATTGATAGTCTGTGCTTTTTCTTGACTCAAGGATCTTCGTATTTCCTCAACTCATTTTAGCAGTTTTTAGCTTCTCCACATGGTATACTCTATACTGCATTTCATGTGACCTACCCTTGGTTGAATATACACAATTTTAGAAATGGGATTTGTACGGATCAGGATGATCCCCTTGTTCTTTCATGTTGAAAATGGTTTTTTTTATATGTTCAAACAAATCAGCCTGCTATATTCCGTGTTGAAAAGAGTGGAAAAGTCACACCAAAACTCTCCTTGAAACCTCGAGTTTCTTAAGAATTAGTGACTTGATTCTCCCCCACCCCACCCCAACCTTTTTATTTCTGTGCTATATGATATCCATTACCTCTTCAGTAACTAATCTTAAAGCTGCAACTACTACTAATTATTTCCTGAATGCTAACTCGCTCATTCACTCTCTCTGTCTCTGATAAGTGCTTATCAAGATAAAACTTTATTATCCGTACAGCTATTTAACTTGAAAGACAATTATAAATTCCAAATTTGTGGTATGCATATCTGATCATAGGTTTTAGTGGTTCAAGAGAACACAGGACGGTTTCGGGGTACAGGTGTGTGGAAGTTCCCTACAGGAGTTGTGGATGAGGTATGTGTACTGGAGGATTATAGATATAATATCATGGCGTGTATATTTTACCCTTCTTGAACTATTTTAATTACAGGGAGAAGATATATGTGCAGCTGCAGTTCGAGAAGTCAAAGAAGAGACGGCAGTGAGTAACAGTTATTCAATACATACATATATATGACAAGTTATTGAATATTCAGTCCTTTTGTTGACTCAGGTTGATACAAAATTTATCGAAGTACTAGCATTCAGGTATGAAATCTTTATTAGCATTAATACTAATCATACTATAACGAAACGCAAGCACATGTGGTCTTCCAGTTTACATTGAAATCGACCTTTCTAAATCGTACTTGTGTATGTCATGAATGCTTCAGCAAGGCCGCTATATAAATCATCTTTCATGTGTGTGTATTAGCTGAGCACAATAAACACTTTCTACACACAGTTGGGTTTTCATCGCAAATCCTGACAGAGTCCGCAAACAAATTGATCTGTTTTCTTGGTCACCATCGATTATTGTTTCTCTCCCTTTTCTTCCATTATTTACAGACAAAGTCACAAAGCATTTTTTGATAAGTCGGACATATTCTTCCTATGCCTGCTGGAACCACTTTCGTCTGAAATTCAAATGCAGGAAACTGAGATAGAGGCAGCCAAGGTTTGTTTTTATAGTTCCAAGTATATGTCATTTTGCAGCAACATCAAAAACTGTTAATATAGTTTAGAAAAATCTGATTGATTATACGAGCAAATAGTCCGGATTTGATGAAACCTCTCATGTTTCTTTTTTATGCAGTGGATGCCATTTGAAGAATACGCGTCACAGCCATTTGTCCAGAAACACGAGCTCTTGAAATACATTGTTGACATATGCTTGGCAAAGAAAGATGGAAACTATTCTGGGTTTTCTCCGGTGCATACTTCCTCCTCATTCTCGGATGAAAATAACTATATGTACTTCAACACTCGTGACCTTGAAGGGCAGTGATTCCTGGTTTATGGCACCTAAAATTATACATGGGGCACGGATTCAACTTCGGGAATTCATAAATAAATTCTTTTTTACTTGTCAAGCACAGATGCTCTATCTTTAAGCCAACACTGTATCAAGTTTCTTTCCTTCTGCTCCATAATTAAATGAATGGTTCATTCAAAGTTTAGATTTGGATATTATCTTCTCTATTTTACCGAATTCGAATCAAAAGTATGTTTAAAAGTAGAGGTGATTGAGTCCATGTCGCCTGGTGTGACCTTGTTGCTGAACAAGGTCGGGCCTGTTGGTTGCCAACTTGCCATTGCTTTCTTTGGACCACCATGACTCTGCTGCACCATCGGTGGTCAAGAACAAGCGAGGCATGTCTCTTATGTGTCTCACAATTGAAGCAAAGCTGGGGGAAAAAAACATGTTTTCTACAGCGTTTCACTTTCAATCAATCTATCAGAATACTTAAATATTAAATGACAAAATAAATTGGCGATGTTATCTTTGTGCAACCATTAATATTTCATCTCAAGCATAAGTTCACTTTAAATGCATTTTTTTTTCATATTGTAATCACTTGATAGATTCTTATAATTTTCCCAACAAAGTTCTTTTTTCTCTCTACATAGCCCCTAATGTAATAAAGAAAATAAACACTATGAACATCGGAATTTATATAACACCGATTAATAAACTGTTAAAATTCATGCATATAATATCTTACTAGTAATTACAATGTAAAAATAATAGGAATATAAATTTTTTAAAAATTAATTATAACTTATAATGTGGAATTTGAAGATATAGAAAATGAAAGTAAAGGTATAATTGAGGTATGGGGTATGTTTCAAAAATGGAAAGCTATCTTTCTCTTTTGCAGATAATATGTCAGGTTACCAACTCCATCTCCATCTGCAGTTTATACTTCACCTTGCCCACTTCTCACGATTTTTGCCTGTCCCCAATTTCCGACTTATATAATATATTAGCAATCCCCAAAGTAAGAAATTAATTAAAGCTCCTAGGTTTTGCTTCCAAGAGCAAAATTGTAGACCAACAAGGTTGGGACTTGGGAACTTGATCTTCCCGCCCAACCCTCCTTTTCTATATATGTTGTGTCATTAGTACTTGTATTAAACGTAAGTTATGAATTTAATCAGTGTTCTATAATTTGATATATTTAATCTCTATACTTGAAAAAAAAATTAGGTCCTGACCCAAACGGTAGTTATTAAATGAATTAAAAAATGGTTAATTCACATAATAAAAAAGAGAGGGATTAAATCTGAAATTTGGACATAGAAGAGAAACTAAACTCATATTTAGACCAATATTACATGATAGGAGTAGGCAACCAACCAACAGTTAAACGTCCCCCGGCTCTTACCAACTTCACAGTTGATCTGCCCATGTCCTCCAAATCCAACACATACGTCTCTCACTTTGACCCTTTTGCCTACATCTTTTTAATTATACATATAAATATATATTACCAAAATCACCCTTCTCACAATCGCATTGTTAATATCTTGTCATTAACATGTTTTGAAAGCATCGACATTGTAAATGGTTATAAAAACTATATTACATATATAATATCAATACGATATGTTCAATAAATATCATATACTAATAACAGTTAATTAATCATCGGTTTAATAACCATAATGTTTATATTAGATTTTGAATTTGTAGCCTGTAGGTCAACAATATGGGCAGGGTCGTAAAGAATAGAAATTATTGACCCTTAAATATTATTATTTGTTTACGTACGTAATATAAAGCGGCTGCTGATGGGGCTCTCTCCCTATTAATCTCCATTTGTCCCTGAGCTGATATAAGCAATATAGAGTTTGAGAAACACAGGCTGTTGGAATTCAAACTAAAGGAGACGATGAGAAACATTTTCCAGGCTAAGCTAGCGATGATCGTTGTTTCGCTATTCCTTCAGCAGAGCTCATTAATGGCGGAGCTTGAAGAGATTGTGATTAGGAAACCAATATTATACGAGTTGTCGAGCAGAGATGAGATGGTGCACCTGGCTGGATACGGCGAGGAGAAGCTATCCACCGTCCTCGTTACTGGGTCTGTTCTTTGTGAAGCTCGCCAGCTTCATTCACAATCACAACCTCAACTTCGTTCATGGCCCATTTCAGGTTTCAATTCTTCCTTTTACATACTCGTTTGCTTGATTTTGTTGTTTGTTTAACCCGGCCATTTATCCACAATGATCGTCAATCTCAGATTATTTAACACAAACATGTTGGAATTTTTTCCGAATAACCATTATTAATTCGAAAATCAAAAACATTAAATCGAATTTTCTTACCCACCCCTACCGGTAACAGTTTCTTGGGTTGCCTTGGACCCTAAACTAAGACATGGTTTGATCGTGAGTGTCGTTCAAGTTGCGTTGTTGTTGTGGTATCCTATTCCTCTGGGCTTTCAGCAGTTGCAATATCAAACAAACTTGGGATTAAAGAAATTTGGACGTCAAAGGAACACCATCGGGTGGGAAGTCACGACGATATTGTCTTAAAACCGCAAACGGAAGCAATATTTAAAACAAGACATCAAAATGGATCATTTCTTTTCTGTTTTTATTATTTTATTTACTACATCTCAACACAATAATAAAACCTATTTTATTTTACAATATTCAATCAACATTTTAGATATTCATACATGAGTTTATAAATAAGGACTACATTTAATATTTCAATGTATCGATAACGATTTAATTTATTGTTATTGATTTTAGTGATAATATATAATTATAAATTAAAATATATTTTGGAGATTATATTAGGATAAATAGACGCTTAGCCAGAGATAAATCGAAAGATGATGGATGGTCGTCCTACTTAAAATTTTTAAATTCTTATATAGTTTAAACTTTTTTATATTATTTTGTTGATGATGTAATTTCAAACATATGAAAATTTGAAGTTATTTTAAAAATTCGTATCTGATATAAATTATGTGTTCATATCTAAACTCAATCATATATATATATATATCATTATAGATTTTAAAATTATAAGTTAACATATAATAACCTGTGATCATCTATAATTACTTTTGAATTATTTTTATAGATATATTTTCTTATATGATAAAATCTACTATGTTTTAATTTATTTTTATGAAAATAAAAAAATCCCATTTTAATTTAGTGAAAGATTAAAATGAGGCCCAGGCCTAAACATTAATGTAAGATGTAAACATATGGGCTCCACAAAAATGCAATGTCACAATTAGGCATGAATTGCATTAATCTCCTCCATTTAATTTAATTTAATTAACCAAACACATCACTTCATATTGATCATATTTATTGCATGAATTAATTTCTACAAAATAAATAAACATATTAATTCTATAATTTTCTCCATAAAATCTACAATGATATGTCCAATTAATTATTCGATAAAGCAAACAAATGATCCCCAACTATAGAGTACTGGTTGATTGAGTTTTTGATTATTAAAAGTCATAAAATGATCATCCAACTACATGATGTTTCTTTGTCGAGTCATCCGACTATTAAAAGTTACAAAATGATCACCATATTGTTCATATGTTCCAAACTCATCATTTCTTGATAAAAAAATTAGCAGTCGTCTGAGCTGAATTTAACACGTTGATTGATATATGATAGTCATTTGAGATTCTGAGATCAGATTTCAGCATATCTCAGTCAACAAGTTAACGTCTAGCTCAGACTACTATCATTTTTTTAACGAAAAATGACAAGTTTTTTAATAGCTAAGGGACTCAACAAAATAGCACCCTATAATTGAGGATCTTTTGTATACTTCACCTTAATTAATTTAATAATGAAATTGATAGATAAAGTTATTTCTCGTGTGACCAATCATTTATTGTGGATATGAATTATGTTGTTTTAATTATATATATGTTGGATTCAGTATCGTCATTTGATTGTTGTTTTCATTTTTAATGTTAAAATCTTAGGGGCCGTGGTGGGTGTTAGATGTAAAACTCCATCCAAAACCAAATCAAGCACAACACAAGCTACAACAGATGAATACGGGGATTTATAATTGATCTTCCATCACACCTGCATGGAATTGTCAATTTGGAAAAGATATGTTGGATTAAAATCATTCGAATACCCAAGAAGTCAATGTGCCAACCATCGTTAGTGAAGAAACGCAAGCACTTGATACTTTCATCGGTCGGAAACGGCATCCGCACCTACACCGCCGGAAAGATAAGGTTTCAACATATTACTTCTAAACCTTTGAAATCACGCATTACAAATACAACAAAACAAATAGCTTGAACCACGTATACACTCGGGATATATATGAAGCTCATTTACATGCCACTTCAATCACAGTATTGAGTTTTAAAATTTCAAATCATCTCCCTTCAGTGCATATAGATATATATTGTGATGTATATAGCAATATTTTGTATTGTATTGAGCTTTTGAGATGTGAGAATCAAATACAATTTACATAAAAAATAAATTTGCTTATTCATGTATGTTGTAGTGTTATATATATTGTGTTGGAATTCATTAAGTGTCATCAATAGTTAAAGAGATTGTTTTCTCTTGAGGTTTAAGGTTTAAGCAACTGTATTTGTAGGGTGTGTATGCTATCAATGAACAAATACTACCTTATAATCATCCTAGACAATTCAAAATAAATTATGTTACAATTATATTTAAGGTATTCATATTTATATAATTTTAGAATAAATCAAGATGAACATAATAGTGTTGAGAGGAGTGGTCATATCCTAGAAATTTTAATTTTTTTATATAATTTAAGTATTTTCTATTGATTATCTGATTTTATATCCTTAAATTTATAATATAATTTGTTAAAGGTTCTCACTCATTGATATAAAATTATATGTCAAAATAAGTCAAAAATTATAAATATTTTTTAAATGTAAAATATAATAAATGAATTTTGATTTTATACAAATGTATATATGAAAATTTTTATTCAAATCATTTTTCATAAATTATTATCCTTTGATCGAATTTACATCGATTTAAAATGGATCTTTCATCGCTGAGAAGAAGCAAGAAATCGAAGCACTGTACCGAATGAAGAATGGTTGTTGAAGATGTATAAAAATAACAACAAATTAGCACCTCAGTGCTGCTATGAAGATATGTCAAATCGGTACAACTTCGTAATTCCGCACTGTATCCACTCCAATTAGGATATGGATGAGTATAATTTTAGTGGGTAGTGGACGGACGTGGATTTAGAAAGTGATACCGTTGCGGGTAGTGGACGGGTGATAGGTTTGAGACCTTACGCCCCGCATCCGCTCGCCCCACATTCGTCCGCCCACTAAATATTCATTAAATTTTGGACCTTTATAATTTAGGTATAATTTTAGAGACTAATTTATAAATCTTAATATTGTATAAGATATATGTTGTCAGACAGATCTAGTCAGGTACATCTCCAGTTGGATAGTGGGTGTGGGAATGAATTTGAAAATGTACTTGCGTGGCGGGTGTAAATTTGAAAAATTTATCTATCATGGGTGGTGGATGAGTGGTGAATTTGAAAATATTAAGTGGGTATGAAATAGAAAGAGATATCCGCATCCAACCCACCCGTTTGCCATCTCTATAGTAAAGTCAAATAATCATTCGATATGTTTATGAATCAGAGAAATGGGAAATTTTCCCAGCTGATGTCGATTCGGGTATGTACGTAAATGTGTTTGATTTATTGCGCCAAAGAAAAATTCTATATCATTATCAATGTTATTATTAACCCTGTAGTAATTAGTAGTACGGTACCACATGCGGGCTCGGATTGGATTCCTTCGCACCTAATTGCTTCCCCACTCACGGACCACTCCATTAAACTGGGCCACCATTTCGGTATTTGCTCTTGCTCAAAATCTTTTGCTTCTCCATTTTGTTCAAATCTTTATGAATTCATATATGGAAAATAATTTGTTGAATGCCAATGAAGCCTGGGCGGTGTTCATAAGATCGAGGTTTTGGATTCTTGAACACCTAGATTCCATTTGTATTATTCGTAATTATCACGTCTGGATTTTATTTCAGATTCATTTTAAATTTAAGTAAAATTATTTGATATACATTTGTAAAATTTCGTTTGCATAACTCATCTATTATAATGTTCTCTCTTATTTAAAATTTCAAGGTTTAAAATCTATATTAGGATTTATATTTCGTAATTAAAGATATACAATTTAAGTGCTTTAACATAAAATAAATAAAATGGCGTAAACTAATTTTTGCATAATTTATATACCAAATAATTAATTTTAATTTGATGTATTATTATATGTGAGACATGTCTCAATATTTTGGTTTTTTTCTATTTAACCAAAAATAATCTTTATGTTCACAGATGAAATTAAAAGTCAGTAAGGAAAGTAAATATAGTTGATTTTTATTTAAGAAAGTGTAATAACTGAACAAAGTAAAAACAGAAGCAATATATAAAGCAGAGCTCAAAGGGGAAGGAGAAGCCAGGCACTAGGCATCACAAGCAGGGAAACAGTAGAGGGAGGGAGGAGCTCATAGTTTTATAGCCCTGAACCTCAAACCTAAAACAACTGAGAATCAAAACACTTTGTCAAACGATGTCGTGACCTTCATCCATTCATCCCCCATTCCAGAGCCCCCCAACTACTTCATCACTCTCCTAACTCATCGCACAATTCTCTTAATTTTTCTTTTTCTTTATTTTTGTTTACAATTTTTCCTAGTTCTGCATCTGGGTTTTCCCCCCTTCTTTTTTTTATGAAAAAATTATGGGTATCTGTTATAATGGGGAATTACGAATCAATTTTGAGATTATGTGAGTGGTGGGAGTTTGGGTTTTCTCTATTTTGCCTTGTTAATTATATATTAAAAGAAAAGGAGTGATAAATTGATCACCAATACATATACAATAATTGATTTTAATAATCTAGAGAAAAAATGGGTAATGTGAATGGAAGAGAAGATGGGAGTAACACCCATCAGGTATTGAGGAAGAAGAAGAAAAGGGTAACCATATTCTCGAAGCTTTGGCTGCACCCATGGGTCACTCACCTCATCATAGTCCCTCATCCACCCACTCTCCTCTCATGTTTACTCCTCAGGTACGCTTTTCTGGGATTTCGATTTCATGGAATGTGATTTGATTTTGTTGAATGGAATTCTGGCTTCTTCGTATCAAGTATATATGTTAAATGTATAAGTTAAGACAAAGATAATTTTTATGGAAGTGGATTTTTAATTAGTTTTTTATGGATTCATGTTATTACTTATTTGTTTAATGCTAAGTAATTATGAGCTAAACTAATTAGAAGATTTTTTCAACATATATTGTTAATTTTCATTAAAAATATTTGTTAACAAATTAAAAGCCAAAACACCGGACTAATCAAACGTACACTTAGATCAATGTTCTGCAGTTCTAAAGATTTCAAGATTTTCTTGTAAATAATGAACCAGTGCTATTAAATTTGTAGTACGAGTATAAATTTTGATATGTAATTTTCAGGTAAACGAAGTGTTTAGATTATTTATATTGTTTGACTTAGTGTTTGCTGCATGATTCTTCACTTAGTGGATCTTAGTTGCCTCCTTCCCCAAATAGAAAATATGTAACCTATTTATCAACATTCACTCCTAGGTTGTATCTATTTCCTTTGATAAATTCCATGATCGGTATTTTGTGTGCGAGCGTGTTGCAATTTTGGTAGAGACTCCTAGTGTAATCCCTTTGTTTTTCCAGTTTAAAGAGATGCTATTGGGTTGTTATAATGCTTGTTTCATTTAACTTTTTGCGATAATTTATATGTATTCAAAGGCCCTCAGGTAGAGACTAGAGAGAAAAATTCTTATGTGGAAATGGTGTGTGTATAATGTGAACGCCATAAAATCTGGTCATTTCTATTCTACTGTTTATGCTCTCCGTGGCAGAAAATGGTATAGTTCTGCATTGATGATGAATGCCAGATGAATTTTCCTGTTATAACTTTAAGCCTCGAGGCTGCATTATGATGCGATGAACTTGTATGTATCTAGTCTGCTAGTATAGTAATAATTATATATTTCTCTGTAAAAGCTTCCAGTTTTATACTGTGCCTCCTTTCCTCCCAGGTTCCCGTTCTTCCTTTACAGAGACCTGATGAGATGCACACATCGAACCAGTCATGGTTGCAGAGTACAATAGGATATGAGGATGTCATTGGCTGCAATGAGAAGCAAATTCCAACAATGATTACATGGAGCTATGGTGGCAAAGAAGTTGCTGTTGAGGGATCATGGGATAACTGGAAGACGAGGTTCCAGATATTCACTGCCTTCTACTCTTTTTTGTCAAAAGAAAAATAGTTAGCTCTTTATGAATTGCTATTGCAGGTCCGACATTTAACTTACTTGCAATCTTGATCAGAATCCCTTTGCAGAGATGTGGAAAAGACTTCACTATCATGAAAGTGTTACCATCAGGTGTTTACCAGTATAGGTTAATTGTTGATGGACAGTGGAGGTATTCCCCTGACTTGCCATGGATTCAAGATGTTGTTGGCAATGCTAACAACGTTTTGGACTTGCGGGTAAATTCTTTTGTCTTTATCTTGTAATGAGTTTGGTATTTGTAGCTTTAGGATTCCCAACTATTTTGTTATTGAATACGAGTGTGTTCCGTGAGTATATCCGCTCTCGTCCTGATGAGGTTAATTTCATTCTTCAGATAACTTTTCTATTGAGCTATATTTTTGGCTTGGAATAAATTCATTCCTCGGTGTCTATGGATACTTATAACCACTGCTTACCAAGCTGGAATTATTCTAAATTTTAAGATACATATATTGCTAAGCAAAAGCATAAAAGCATTTTTGCCCCACGGGATCAAAAGCACCGACTCTCACTTGGCTATAACATTCAGTTTTTGTACGTTTTATTATATTTCTATATTCAAAGCAAAGACGATCAAATATATATATATATATATATTCATAGCAAAGGTTTTGGTTATTATCAACTCCGTATGCAGGTGTTAATTTTGATGTTCTGTTGTCACTGGAGCATTATATGCATACTTGCTTTTATTTTATTCTGTTTCCTTTCCTTGACTTTTTACTTAGAAATGCAAATTGTGAATTGATGCCCTGCAGGATTATGTTCCAGAAGATATAGAAAGTATATCTAGTTTTGAACCTCCCCAGTCCCCCGAGTCAAGCTACAGTAATTTGCCGTTTGGAGTTGAAGATTTTTCTAAGGAACCACCACTCCTTCCTCCGCACCTACAACTGCCACTGCTCAATCTTCCTACATCTCACATGGAGATACCACCTCCCCCGTCAAGACCAAAGCACGTAATCCTCAATCATCTGTATATTCAGAAGGGGAAGAATGGCCATCCCGTAGTGGCACTTGGATCGACTCATCGATTTCGGGCCAAGTATGTTACCGTGGTGCTGTACAAACCCGTGCAGCGATAGTATTAGACAGGTGTCCCTATATGGAATCTTGTAGTCTCTGGTTGTGGTTGATATAATTTATCAGTAAGTATAGACGTTGTGCCCAGGATGGAATCACCATTTGAAAACTGCTGAACATTCTGATCTTGTTTCCATGATTTACATATAGGTATTTGGGTCCCCATGAAATTTAAACTAGAGATCCCCCCGACTAAATCTGTGCATTTTTTGTTTGCAATTAAGAGAGAAACTTCAAAAAGGTCGGTTTAAACTATGGTTTTGGTCCTTTGGTGTGTTCAAGTATAGATTTAGCTCTTATGCTTTAATTTGATATAATTTAATCCTTTATTTTTATAATATAATTAGTTAGTTCAAATATTCAACACCAACAAATATAGGTCCAGTTCCTACGACATTGATTTAGATCAAGTAATGACGTTATAAAAATTGTAAGAGAGGTCAAGTTATATAAAAAAAATTGAAATTAATAACGGGATCAAAATCATAAATTTACGGAACAGTCGAGTTTAATTAATATTACAGCTAAGCGTCCATAACATGGGTTCACAAAACCTATAATTACACAGCTTATTTCAAAAGAAGTCACAATGAACACTGAGTGAAGGTCTTAATACATTATAGCAGTTGCAAAATTGCATGGCTAATATGTATAAAAATTACATAAGTGAGCAAGCATTTGGATTCTCATCGCTGAAGAACTGTGGAGGATACTCCAACTCCTCCGAGTAATACTTCGACGGAAAAGACTCACTTCGTTTGATGTCGTCACTCTTTTTATTATCTTCTTCACCTCCTTTAGCTTCTTCTTTCTTTGTCTCTTGTTCTTTTTTCTCCTCTTCCTTCTTTTCTTCACCTTTCACTATGGTTGCCTGCTTTCCAGTTCGCTTGTATACGTACTCGACCAGCTTTGTCGGATCCACGGTTCCTTTTACAATAACTTGGTCATTTCCCACGTCTGTTTCTACCGACTCTACGTCTATGATGAATCAATGCATTCAAAGTTATATATCTAATATATTATAATAAGGAATGAAGTATATGAGGTACCTTTAATCTTCCGGATTCGCTTCCGCAAAACCTGAGCGCATGCTTCACAGTGCATACCAACCTTCAACACCACCGTTATCACTGCAGGAGGCTGCCAATACATGAACTCATCACTACTAATTACAACAAAATGATTATTCTTTTCTTAACTTTAGAGATTAGACTATATTCCAAGATCAGACCTCTATATTAAAGATCTCAACACTGTTTTCTTCATTAACTCAACAACATTCCACCAAAAAAGCTTTCTAAGCCTGACATTAAACATATAATAATATAATCCACCTACCAATCTCTTATTACGAGAAACCAACTCTTAAACTACTAGTAATTGTGTGCAAATAAAACAAAACCTACACTAATATTAATTAGAGTTTGTTAAGAAAATATCAAAATAGTGTTGGTTTGGAAGTGAAAGCAAGTAGGATCTCTGGACCCGTGAGCGACCTGCATTGCAGAGTTGGTCAGTACTAGTAATATGGAACCGTGGGGTCACCCTTAAACAGTGGCCTTGTGATATGTGCCCAGTGGGCTATGGGGCTATGGGGGGTTGTGGTCAAGACCAACTTGTTTTGTAACTTTCAATGTCAGCACCGCTACACACACAGCAGAGGATAAATCTTGCTAATTCAAAAACCCATAACACATGTAGGGCTCGACATTTAATGGTTTTTTTTCCCGACAATTCCTCCGTCTATTAAATGGTATAATTTCACTTTTAATCCCTCCAAAATTTACTAGTTCAGTTAAAGATTTTTAATCTATTTTAACATAGAAAATTTAGTTTTCATCTTTAAAACTAAATCTTTGTTACCTCCTCTTTTTTCTCTTCTTTGGGTTCGGGTTCTTTGTTTTCTTCCTTCTTCTCTTCCTCCGGCGGCGGCGGCTGCTTCGGCAACGGCGAAACTAACTCTACTTTTCTTCCGTATTTCTTTAGTAGCCTTTCATAAACCTTGCTGGGATTTGCCGCCTTTCCCTTCACCACCACCTTATTTGCTTTGCTATCTGTGGCAACATCCTCCACCCCTGTCGTCAAATTGAACCTTAAGATCTCCGAAAATGAAAAAGCTAATACACACACACACACACATATATATGTACATATATATTACCTTCAAATCCCTTGAGAGTTCTTGCAACTTTTCTGGCACAAGCTTCGCAGTGCATATCAACTTTGAGTACAATTTCTGGGTTTTCTTCTTCCTTTTTCTCCTCCCCTTTGGCATCTTTTTTCTTGTCCTTAAATATAAACAAGCTATTACTATTGAGTATTAACTAAAACTCAGTCAAACAAACTATTATGAGCTTTGATTAAAGGTAAAGAGGCGTTAATGACATGAACAATGCAACAACGAAGAGAGTAAATAGATAGGCTTACCTCTCCCATGGTTATGATGATTCTGAAAATACTCTTTACTTTCTGGACTTTCATGAGCAGGAAAAGTTTCGATATATATGCAAGCAATGATTTTTTATTTGGCTTAATTATAATGTAAAGGCTCAAACTATAGCAATTTTCACGAATAGGTGAGTATAATTTTTTTGAATGATTTCGGTATCTAAACGTTATCATTTTAGGTGTCTGGGCAATAAATACTGTTAATTTTTTTCGTTAAATGACATATCATATTTTAGTAATTTTTAAAAAATATTTAAAATTGAAAAATTAAAATTATATTTTAAAAAACAAACAAAAAATTGAAATAATCCAAAACTTTGAAAATCTTAATTTCAACCTCTAAACCCATATCGACCGACACCCTTTACCATCGACGAAGTTTCACCCGACCTCATCTACCTCGACTATCAATATCCCTATGAAATCGTAACCTATTGACGGTTGATCGACATTTTGTACCTCGTGAATCCTAAGATAAAAATTACAATCTCACATGATTTCAATGACCAATCAACGACAACTACGATGACATATAACTAAGAAGATGACAGAGATTAAATTGGCAGTAGTGGTCGTGGCCGAAAAGGGTGGCGGCAGTGGGTTAGAGTTAGGATTTAAAATTTTTATGAATTTTGAGTTTTTTTTTGTAATTCATGAGAAATTAGGGTTTTTTAAATAAATATAAGAATATTTTTAATTAAAAAGTTCAAAATTATCAGAATGTGACACATGTCACTTAGCAGAGAAAACTAACGGTAGTTATGGTAAGGCATCTAAAGTGGTAATTTTGTAACGTTAGGCACCGGGACCATTAAAAATATTGAGTGTAATATTCGTGAAAACAATATAATTTAAGCACTTAATTTATAATTAAGCCTTTTTATTTTTATGGTGGGAGAAAGAGGAAGAAAGAAAGGCTTTAAAGCAAGGTGGAAATTGTGGGGATCTGACGTGGAGTTGTTTGATGCACCGGTAGACATATGTCCTTTAGCTGACTCAGCGTCTCAATCATTTACCCTTTCTCTAGAGTCTAATTTGAAATTCATCCTTCAACCATATCAAAATTGAGAAATTAGTCCTTTACTTTAATTCATTCTTCTAGTTTTGTTGGTTTTATTGTCTGGATGAGATTATTGTATGCTTAAATCATGAAATAGATAAAGAAGAAACATGTATGATTTATATCAGGATAAAAATAGAAGAATAAAATTATGATAACTAACATAAAAAGATAAAGTTGAATATTCATAAAATAAAAGGATGGAATTGAAGAATAAACCATTTGGTTGTTACCATGGTCTTAAATAATGGGGAAATGGGGCAGTCGTGAAGTTTACGTAACGTGTGTATGAATTGATGGTGCATTCCATAATGTTGTAGAAATGTCTTTGAGGCGCAAAGAAGAACAACCGGGAATGGAATGGATGGGTAAATTTGGATCCTTTAATTGGGAATCCAAAATGCAAAGCCCACCACCATAACCGGCAGAATTGAGGTTGGGGTTGAAGATGGTCTGGAAAACAATTTGAAGTTGGTGCTCTTGGCCCAAATTGGACTTGACTTGATACGCATGTCATTGGGCTAACTCAATCCAACCAACTTCAATGTCGATGCCCGTAAAATCGATTTATAAATTCTATAAAAATGAGAAAAATCAGACCATAACATGAAAAAAATACAAGGCTAAGGTGCTAACTAAAATCAATGGTTTTGTCTCTAAATTTGTGTTTTATAGATAAGGTGTATCGTTAGACTTGGCACTCTCCTCTTCCACTTTCTACAACAATGGCGTATGCCGTCAACGTGTGTCTGTTGGAAGCAGGTTTTGAATTTTGACATCACTTATTGAATGCTACGGCACAACCCAAAGAGGAGTTTTATGAATTGAGGATAACTCCGGATGATGGGTTTTGTGCTTGTCATACATTACGCCTAGACAAGAACTGAGTGAATGCAAAATCCAAACTAGTAGGTGGTTTGGTTTGGTGGCAGGGTAACAAACAAAACGGTGAAGGCAGGGACTAGGCATCACAACTTTTTAATTATATTGCTTCCCAACATCTGTTGGAAAGAGCTTGTGAGCTGCTAGACCTGGGGCTTTCCCTACAGATTTATCCTCCAACTACTGGACCTTAAGTCTCTCTCTTGGGGCACCTCTAACCAGAGCCGTATTTGAGTTTGGACAAAAGGGACATCTGTCAAGGCCCATAATTTTTATAATACATTATATTTGTAAAAAAATGATTTTATATCAGTTACAGGCTCAATCATTTTTAATATTTATTAAAACTAGGTGGTTTGGTTTGGTGGCAGGGGAACAAACAAAACGGTGAAGGGCATCACAACTTTTTAATTATACTGCTTCCCAAACATCTGTTTGAAAGAGCTTGTGAGCTGCTATCCCTAGACATTTATCCTCTACGTCTCCGACTTACTGGACCGTAGGTCTCTCTCTCTTGGGGCACCTCTAAGTTTCTAACTTGGCAAAAGTACAGGAGTCGAAACCAATACTGGACACGGTCAACATAAATACTCGGGAGAAAGGCTTGGCAACTGTCATCCACTAGCATCTCAATGAATTAGATGCTTCATTTCATGAAGCCCCGGACAGGGCTGACTGTTTTTTTCTTTCTCTCTTTAACGACAAAAGTTGTAGCCCAGTCGTGGTTGGAGTCGAGACGTACACGTACACGTACAGGTACACCTACACCCATCTTGGTAGCTGATTAGGTAGTGTGCTCGTGAACAAGTGTTGGTCCTTTCATCTTTGCATCCATATCTAATGTCTACAAATATTCTCTGAAAACTCCTCCTTCCTATATTTGTTACCATTATCTATTTTGACGGGACACCGTGTTTCAATACCCTGATGTATACAAAAATTTAATGAAATATACGCATATCATTAGAGTGGTTGGCCAACTACTGTTTGTTAATTTAAAATGCGTTTTGCCATTTTGAACCATTTATTTTTGTTTTTTTATCATTGTAAACTTTTCAAGCTTCATCTTAAACAGTGTAATATGAATTTGTACCTTACCAGAAGTGGTGTTTGATTTGTTCAATTCTAGAATCAGTTGGGATGATTTTGCCAATAATACAGAAAAAGACCGACTAATTTGACTTATTATTTTTCAACTATTTTAATAACAAAATATATAGTTAGATACGCGAGTCAATTAATTTAACCAACTGACCTTATCGATGATAAATTATTTTAGACCACAAAGGTGGGTTGATTCAGTTTTTGAATTTGATTGTTTAAGTCCGATACATAAATAAAAAAATAATAATAAAAACCGACAGAACCAGATAAATTTAACTATTTGCTCACCACTACACCAATATATGCTATAAATGTTTCAAGATACTTAAGAACACAAATCAGTTCCTTTCCGTCCAATAGACAATACTGGTACAACATATACGTAAAAGATCTATGTTACCCAGACATTCTCCCCCTAAAGTATGTGTCCGTCAGTTGTAGAAAAACACGCCTTCCGACTTAAGTATGATTGAATGAATGAAAAGATAAAAAAAAATGAGTATGCTAGTATCGAACACATATCATATTCGATACGATACCCACATAGCAAAAAAGAAAGATGTGATAGCAAATAATTTTCTTCCAAACAAAATATCTCCTTATCAAAATTGGTCTCCTTGCAATTGCAAATGCAAATACAGAGAAGGATCAAACGATCAGGCAACGTTGTGCCACAGCTGCCGAAAATGAAATGCACGCAAGGAGAGACAACAGAGGGAAAGTTCCCATGTTCTACAGGACCAGATGTTAAAAAGTGTTTACCAATTGTGCAACTGAGCAGTTATACTTTTTACAACAGGGTGGTATCCCGTGTGCATGTGCCTTTTAGCTTTTTCTGAACCCGGGTGCTCAAGCCACTCATCATACAACCGTTCCACCAAAGGGTTCTTGAAAGGATCAGCTTCCAGGACCTAAATTAATAAAGAAGAATTAATAAAAGAAAATCTAAAACAAAAAAGGAATAAATGCAGAGTTTCTCCCCACTTAGAACTTTTGTGCTATGTGAATATTCGGAAGAGAGCTTGATTGCATATGCATGTAAACGTTAAGCTCCGTGTAGCATGTCAAATCAGTTCAATTTTAGCATTACAGCATTGCAAGCATAGAAACTTAAATTTTAAAAAACGCGTGGACAAATTCATAACTGAGCGTAGAAACTCACATTTTCCATGTAAACAGTTTCTAGTGATTTGATTAACTCCTTTGGAGATTGTCCTGGCTTTGGCTTGATTTGCCCTCCACCATTCAAGCAACCTGCAAACATTAAAAAATACCCAGATTCTAATACAAAGTTACAAGCGACTGTTTCAAATCCAATTCATTATTAAAATAAATAAAAGGGTACAATGGAACAGAAACCTGAAGGGCATGCCATAACCTCCACATACTGATAATCACATTTCCGTGTTTTAACTTTCCTCACGATATTTTGCAGGTTTTGGAAGCCATAACATAAGGAGAATTTCATCACAGTTTTCCCCTCCACCTACATAGTGGACTGTCAGGATATCAACAAAGAAAATAAAAATAAAATGTAGTGTTGAAGTTGCTTCCATGACTTTTTGAGCCATATATGTTAAGTAATAAATTCGTGATTCAATTTCAATACAACCTTTGTGAACTAAGAGATTACAGAAAGGGAACTCTTCAGGCAGAATTTGCATGTTTCGTTTAATATTCGGACTCTATACTGCTAAAATGTATACCATCAAATCAAAAAGCAAACTTACTTCTAGCCTCAATTCACGGAAATCAGAATTCCTTATAGTTCTGAAGTCCAATGGCCCATCAATTTCTCTTCCAAAGAGAACTTTTGCAGCATAGCGGAAGACAGTTTCAGCATAACCTCCAGAGCTTCCTGAGACACCATAAAGATGTCCTTGCTCATCAAAATTTGTCAACCTGAAGAATGTTAACCATATTGTTCATTTGTATGTAACAAGGTAGGAATAGAGGGTCATTTTAAAGACAATAATTGTGGTACTTACAGTGTATCAAGAGGGGACTCTTCCAAGGCTTTAAAATCAACTTCTTTCAACTGCAAAAATTGACCAAATCAAGAATATAAAATTGTTACATTGAAATGTCCAAATTAGATAATGTGCAACCTTGACTTCACCTGTATCAAATCTAATACTTCCCCAGAGGTCAAGACAGAGTCAACTTCTGGGATACAAAGATCTTCATCAGCGTGGAATCCATCATTAGATTCCACTTGAAAAACAAAATCCTCCCTGGAAGCCTCAAGCTTCTTATCATAACATGGCATCACCGTTACATGGTATATCTCCTCCGGCCTATCAAGTAAAACGAATAATCCAGTCATTCAAGTATTAAGGACAATGCAATGTTTTTGGCATACACCATTTCCTCAAATATTTGGGTAGTATCAAGTTAAAAAACTAGAAATTTTCATAAGATGTTAACTGACGATTGGCTTTCCAAAAATAGTCCAAGATAAAAATCTAACTTTCTATAGCACCTGAATAGCAAATAAAAAAGTGTAGAGGGAGTAGGGAGATGTTCTACGACATTATTAAAGAAAGCAATTAGAACTATCCTTTGATCATACTCATTAATTTGGAGGTACACAGACCATGAAAGTGACTTCATGATACAATACATATAAAGCACCAGATATTATTCCATATTCCTTCTCCTTCATTTGTATGTTAAATGAATATGATTTTCTTATTATTACTGCCTTCAATCTTCAGTTATTTTCTAGTTTTCCTATGCCAATAGTAGGGTGGGAGGCTGTGTAGTTTTAACCAGTATGCTGTAATTCATTGGTAACCGCAAAATTTAGCAATATTTTAGTTTTTTTTTCATAAAAAAATATGAGAGAATAGCTAATCAAGCATTTCATTATCATTACTAGAGTACATTACAAGTTCTCTCTTCTAGCAAAAACTGTTGTTTATAGCATGACCATGACCAAAAGAAAGCCGAAGTCTGGTGCATAAAAGTTGAATAGCCAAGACTACCTGAAACCCATTGTCTGACATATATGATGCTTAAGAGCAGCTCCCATCGACTGCTGAGGACTTTTTACTGAGGATATGTATGGCAAAATATATGATCCAAGCTGTTTTTCAGCATAGCATATCCAACCTGCAATAAGAGAGAGACACAGAAAAAACTCTTTTGAGCACAGGAATTCTATAAATTACTATGACATCCCATGCATAGTCTTCTTCTCCACATGTAATGCACAAATACAGAAAATCGTGTGCATATGCATTTTAGGGTTTCAGAGAGAGAGAATTCTATTAAATTATTGCCCTATTTTTACAAATAAGATGTATACCTGGACATGATGAGGACAGCATTGGGAGTGAGGATTTGCTTTTCTCGTCAATATTTGCTTGGCTTTGTTTATATCGAGCAATGAACTCATGACAAGTTTCAATTAATGTTAAGTCTCTAATACAACAAATATCAAAAACAGCTTTTACTCCTAAGGACTTTAAAAAGGTTGTGAGTTTCTCGAGAACCTGAAAACGAGAAAAGAAATTCCATAATTAGAAATATTCAACTGAAATAACATATAGGCAACATTTTCTTGTACTTCAAATGAAATGAAAACAAAAATTAAAAACAGGGAATCACAGATTTAGTCAGAAGGTATTACAAGTAGGGAGGGTGTGGAATGTGCATAATTGTGCGGTGAGAAAACTGCTAGATTTAACCCTCTCTTCTTTTCATATCATATAGTGCGAATGTAACTGAAGAGCATGTCAGGGGGTAGAATGCCACTATCAGAGCGTTTTAGGTTAAAGGTTTCTAGTGTTTCATTGTACCTTCAGTGGAGGGATGCCGAAGTGAGCAGCAAGGGAGGCCCTTGACTGTGGAGAAAGGGATACGATTACAGCTTTCCCTTTATTAATACTGGAAAGGAATTCATCTAAGCTTTGCTTCATAAGCATCACTGTCTCTGCAGAGGTTATGCACCCACTGCAACATTGCAAAGAAGTTACAAACATGCCTTCAATGTAAATAAAACTTGAAACATAAACAACTAAATAAAGCCTTTATCAAGACAACAATTGGCAGTCATAAATTAGACATTCAACATTCAAAAATTTCAATAATTACCTTAACATACACTTAACAAACAAACAATTTTAATCCAATCCACAAGCTACGCAATTTTAAAGACATGATGGATAAGCCAAAGATAGAGGAAATATTACCTACATGCCAAGCAGTCCTTGAGTGAAATCTTTACTGGTTCAATTTGCTGACTCTTAGCAGCTAAAACCTTCAGCAGAGTAATTTGAAAATAAGAAAATTTTAACCAAATATAACGAAAAATCATACTCTTCTACTGCTAAATAATTCGATAATTGGTAGAATAAAGCCTATGCGATTACAAAACATAACCAAACAAGAGCATCTAAAGCTAAAATGGAAGGAGCCAATAACAAATCCGAAACAAACTATAACACCTAATTCCGAATCGAAGTTTGCAAAATTCACGAAATAGGATTGATAATTGAGGAAAGAAATTAAGTGAAGGTATAATGAGTACCTGAGTTTCAGGTTTCTTAGGGGTTGCTTTGAGAGAAACGACGCAGGCTTGAGACGGTGCTATGAAATCGCTGAGATCTCCGATCCTGAGCGTCGGCGAGAACTTCTCCGACATCGTTTAATTTCGAAGCTACAATTATACAACGCTTAAATTGAATTGGAAAATTGATAATTTAGACCTAGGAGTTGATTCGAGAAATAAGGTTGAGGTTGAAGGCGCTTGAAATAATTTAGTAAGTCAAAGGCGGTATATCACCGGAGGAAGTCCACCAAAGGCGCGTGTGCTTTTTCTAATCAAGGCGTGTGTATTTGGCACTTTTAAAAAGAATAATAATACGAATAAAGTACATAAATAATTCCAGAGTATTATTTTTTTAATCTTTTAATTATTAAAATTATAAAAGATTTCATAACTATAAAGGGATGTTTTTTTTAATCTATTGACTATTAAAAGTTATAAAATAATTATTTGATTATTTATATATTCTAAATTTTCATTTTTTATTAAAAACTAACGATTGTTTAAGATGAACATTGACCTGCTGACTGAGATAAGATAAAATCTGATCTAATAACTGTTTTAATTTTTTTTCTATCAACTCTTCGTTTACATTATGACATCGAACCAATGATTGAAATATTATGCCGTCGAGTTAGTGCTTGAAAGCAACGACGGTGCTAGTAAACATTATTAAAATATAATTTTATCATATGACAATCAATAAGTTAACATCTGATTCAAACGATAGCAAGATGAGTTTGAAATATATGAATAATCAGGTGTCTATTTTATAACTTTTAATAATCGAATGAATCAATAAAACAACGCTATATAATCGATATCATTTGAATACTTTACACTAATAATACTAATAACTATGCATCAAGAGAAAATTAGGCACCCGATTACTCACTGCACCAAAAATTGTATATTAAAAATATAATAATTGATATTGTAAGGATAGATAAATAAAAATATTTATAAAAAAAACTAAAATTACAAACATTAAATTTTATTATTATTGTAATCTAAAGATAGATTTTAATAAATAATCATTATTTAATAAAATTTCATTTTGAATTAAAAGTTATTATTAATGGTAATAATTTATTAAAAAAATTGAAAACTCCGAAGAAAGTGGAGGAATTATTCAAATAATATTATAAAAATAAATGATTAAAGTATATTAAAGTCAAGGAGAAAATCTCAAACTTTAATAGAGGAATTAAAACCACAACTAGACCACAATAGGAATTTAAAGGGATTGACATTGTCGGATGCTTCATTCAATTCTATGGATACCAGATATTGCTCAGTGATTAGCTAACACATTTTTCATTTCGACAGTAACACTGCCCTTGGGAGTGAGCAACTGAGCATTAGTTCTAAAACAGAGTTGTTACTGTAAAATCCTATTCTGTACCGTATCGGTTACATAAAATGCGAGATACTATCAAATATTCACGACTCCACAATTATAAACAATAAATTTAAAAATATTTTTTAAAGTGATCACATATATATTAATAACATAAAATTTTTATGCATGATAATATATAAAATTTTAAGGTGGGCACAATCAATATATAGATAATTATTTAAAGAAAATTTGGATTTCAGGTGGGCACTGACCCATCCTTACTGAGTGGATACGCCAATGGCGACTATGTCGAGATACTCGAATTCTGCCACCTTGAGTTGTTCTTGGCTCCGTTGGGATCGTATAAGAGAGAGATGGAAAGCAGAGATACAATACAGGAGCACCATGGCAATGCTAACTAGTAGTGCCATTGCTATTATTTGCCCGATTTGGACACAAAACTTGCCGTACATGTTGCATGCCTTCATCCATTGAACCTCCTCAACTTAGCAAGACACCCTTACTGCGCTGCACATTCCACGGCAAACACATTCAAGTACTCCATGGCCTGCAAAACAAACGATATGGACTTTATGAAGACTAGCTTTAACTGTTATTAAGTAATTAAATGCAAAACCAGAAACAAGGGTTGTTCAAAGACTTGTTTGATGTAAAACAGGCTCCCAATATTACCCGATTCATTCTATCAAAAAAATATATATATATATTACCCGATTCAAGTAATCCTAAAAATCCGTATTGTATTTCGACTTTGTTTAAGAAAATGAGTGTGTAACCATGTAAAAACAGAAAGAACAAGTAACAAAAACAATGAGGTAAGTTAAGCGTTCTCCTTACCATATACACCTCAAAACTTTCATGCCTTGTCAAGCCTCTGAGCATGTTACTAGTTTCCACATCAAGTGTCAATCCCTTTTGGAGCGTTTCTTCAGCAAGACTCAAAGCCTCATCTTTTCTCTTGCTCTTCACGTACCCATTAATCAACATCTCTTATAAGCCACTATATCGGGTTCAAAATCCTTGGCTGCCATTGAATCAAAAACATCTTGTGCCTTATTCATTTCGCCTTGTACACAATACATTCTGATCAGTATCCTGTAAGTAAATCCATTAGGCATCACACCTTTTTGATATATCAACTTTAGTACCCATGAGCTGCTTCTGTTTTTCCTTGTTTGCTAATAGCATCCAACAAAATGTTAAAAGTTTCAACATCAGGTACAATATCCGCTGCAACCATCTCACAAAGCAAGTGTGTTGCTTCTGTCCATTTACATGAATCGCATAACCCGTGTATCAAACAATGGTAAGTGACAAAGCTGGGTTTTACATGTCTCTGACTCATTAGTCCCCACATGGTAATAGCTTCTCCTGTACTCTTTTCCTTGCTTGATTAAATAATTGAAAGCCACAACATCAGGATGAACCCCTTCATTCATCATTCTATTGAGCAAGCTTGCCGCTTCAGTCCATTTGCCAGAATCGCAAAACCCATGTATTAAACAATTGTAGGTGAAAATGTTCGGTTTTATACCTCTTTGAATCATGCGTTCAAACAAGGAAATGGCTTCTTCAATCTTCTTTTACTTGCATAAAACATCAATTAAAGAACTGAAAATCACGACATTAGGATGAACACCTTCGTTCATCACTCTATTGAGCAAGCTTGTAGCTTCAGTCCATTTACCTAAATTGCAAAACCCATGTATTAAACAAGTGTAGGTGACAACTTTAGGTTTTCCATCTCTCTGACTCATTAGCTCTAACATGGTAATAACTTCATCGATCTTCTTTTCCTTGCATAAAGGATTGATTAAAGAATTGAAAATCACAACTTCAGGATAGATTCCTTCGTTCATCATTCTGTCGAGCAAGCTTGTCGCTTTTGCCCATTTACTCTTTGACTCGTTAGCTCAAACAAGGAAACTGCTTCTTCGGTCTTCTTTTCCTTGCATAAAACCTTGATTAAAGAACTGAAAGTCACAACATTAGGATGAAACCCTTCGATCATTCTATCGAAAATCACAACTTCAGGATAGATTCCTTCGTTCATCATTCTGTCTAGCAAGCTTGTCGCTTTTGCCCATTTACTCTTTGACTCGTTAGTTCAAACAAGGAAACTGCTTCTTCGGTCTTCTTTTCCTTGCATAAAACCTTGATTAAAGAACTGAAAGTCACAACATTAGGATGAAACCCTTCGTTCATCATTCTATTGAGCAAGCTTGTCGCTTCAGCCCATTTACCTGAACTGCAACATCCATGTATTAAACAAGTGTAGGTGACAACATTAGGTTTTACATCTCTTTGACTCATTAGCTCTAACATGGTCATAGCTTCATCGATCTTTTTTTCCTTACATAAAGCATCGATTAAAGAATTGAAAATCACATCACCAGGAGAAATCCCCTTGTCAACCATGTTAGCTAATAATCATTTTGTTTCATCCCACTAGCCAATGCTGCAAAATCCACGAATGAACAAAGTAAAAGTAATAACATTAGGTTCAATTCTCCTATCTAACATATCTTGAAAGATAATCAAAGCTTTCTCCAAGCGTTTCTCTTTACATAACTCATCAATAATAGTGTTAAAACATACCAAATGAGGTTCAAAGCTGCCATTTCCGCTCATCTTCATCAGCAAAACGAAAATACCCAGATTTGCGAAGTCCCCTAATAATAATATTATAAGTACACGGATCATTCCTCAGTCCAAGATTTCCTAGACAAACCCATTGACTCTTTAATATCACCTTCATTCCTCAGTCCAAGAGGCAGAGTATTCATGGTGCAAGCGTCGGGTTGAAGACCAAGTTTTACAATCATGGCCAAAACAGAGAAACCTAAGTCCACCTTCTTCAAGCTGCACAAACAATGGATCCAAATGTTCATTTCAGAGATATCAAGATAGAATTCATCACGATCCATCATCTGTTTACACATGGAAACGACGACAATGGCATGTGCTTCATCTTGGAGATGGCTCCAAGCATATGGCTGAAAGCCATAATTGAAGGCGTGGGTTTCGTTGAGATCATGGAACTGAAAAAACCCAGGGCTTCATCAAGCTGAAGGGATCTTGATTTACACGTGTATGATCGATTTCTCAAGATGTGTGGGTTTAGATATACCCATATTGACATTTTCAGCAGTAGTAACATAAGGAGAAAAAGGAACAGATTATGGACAGGTCAGGAAAATAAAATAGAAGAGAATTAGCAGGGAGACGAAGAGAATTAGCAGGGAGACGAAGAATGAAACCAGGAATTGTTGAGGTTATTCTCTTCATCTTCATCACCGTGTAAGCTGCAAATGAATCAGTGTAGCAGAAAATATTTTTACTAAAACAGCAGTAAGTAATTTACAGCCCAATGAACCCAGTAACAATAGAATCCGCTCATATCAAGACATGGTTTATCAATAGGCCCAAATATAACGATTAGGGGACTGTTTGTTTGACTCTGAATAGATTTATTTAGTGTTGAATGTTAAACAGTTCAGCATTTAACACGTTTGTTTCGTACTTTTGAATGATTTAATGTTAACTGATTTAGTAAAATAATACTGAATAATTTAGCATCAAATTACATTCTAAATGATTCAGAATCATTATTAAACAATATGTTACATCTAGAGTTAATTCATATAGAATCTCTAAATCATTCAGTATTTAAATTATTCAACGTTTAATCATTCTAAAATAAACAAATTACCCCTCGATCAACAACCACACACAGAAAAAACATATCAAATTCGGACAGGGAGGGTGCTCTGTTCCGTTTCCACCTTTACCATCTGAAGTCCTTAGGACCTTAGGCGAGTCATTGAAACTTGAAAGCCTCACAAACAGGGACCACCCCCCCCCCAAAAAAAAAAAAAAAAACAAACACACACAAAAAGGAAAAAAATCAAAGAAGAACACAGACATAACAGCTTCGGCCAAACCAGAGTATCCAGTTGTAGATCGAAATCCTCCTTTCACCAAATTCGTTGGTAATTTCAACACCCTCGATTACTTCCGTTTCGTCATCATCACCGGCGTGTCCATCACCGTCGGCTACCTATCCGGTAACCCTCTGGGTTTTTTTCATACAACAATAATCATCGTTTTGTAACATTGAAATGCAATTGGATCCTTTTTTTCTCTAAATCTGTTAGCATCTGAATTGGAAAATGTTTTGGGGTTTGAAGTTTAAACCTTTTCTGTTCTTTTTGGTATTTGGTTGGTGCAGGTATAAAACCGGTATTAAAAGGTCCTTAAATGGTGACAGGAGGGCTAATAGGGTGAATGGGAGGATTTATGTATGCCTACCAGAACTCAGCGGATCGACTAATGGGATTTTTCCCTAATGAGGGCGAGGTCGCCCAGTACCAGAAACGTGGATTCAACAACTAGCGCCTTTTCTTCTTCCATTCTCGTTTATTCCCTTTTCTTGTTATAAATGTTTATGTTTAGGATAGATTGAAGGACAAATGATTGCAAATAAATCTTTTTGCTTTGTCTGATTTCCAAGTTGTTCATTTCAAGGCATTTGTCTTGCTGCTACGCTCTTTAGAGATCGACTTATATGGGTCTAAGATCCCATTGAAATGATTTTGCCTTTGAATAATTGTTAGGAAGCACCATTGTTGGAGTGAACTGCATACATCTTTGGGATGCAATTGATCAATGCAAAACTGATGTTTTGTGAATGGATGGTTTATCAAGTGACAGTACCATAGCTTGTAAAGCATAGTAACTTTTAATTATGTGAATGACAGTTTCTTTCCGAGGAATGTAAAGGGAAATTTCACTTCATAGGTCAAAATATTCTAGCTTTTTGGTTTGTGTCTCTTTGTGTTTGTGGTATTACAATCTAAAGGATATTCTCCATCCCACCTAGTTTGAATTCCAGGTACCAATCTTCTTGCTTGTTGTTATCTGTCATTATGTTCAGGCTAGCTTAGATAATACTGTTATGAATTGGAAGTATTCTGGTTAATTCTTTGGGCGAAGCCATATCATAGCGGTCTCTCTTTTTCTGTGGAAAACTTGGGTCTTGAGGGCTTGGGCAGGCGGGCTTTTCAATTTTCCTGCTTCAGATTACATTTGGTTCTTTTTAGCTTATTGTGGTTGCTCTATTTTCTATCATCCATTTCATCTTTATGCCAGCCTCGTGCGGGCATACTGGTAGCTCAATTTAAGTTTCCTTCGAGAACAATATTTCCCTCGTCTCGCATTGCAGTCATGCATTATGACGTTGTTGTTGAGGTTCTATTCCAATGGCATATCCTCATTGGAAGATAGTACCAGGGTTCATTCCCATACTTACTTCACATGCTGCCTCGAAAAGGCCTCGTAAAAGACGGTGTTTGACTTCAATAGATTAGCACGGACACTAGTTTACACCATTTGGCATCTTAAGTTGGTCGCATTCTGGGAGATTGATTCTGTGAACTTGATGGTTTTGAACACAAAACAGTTAATTACACTGCATGATATGAGCACACGAAGAGAAGAGATAAATGTTCACATTGGCTGTGGACATCATAGCCTTTCATGTTAGGAGGTGTTTCTTCTTTCTTTTGATGGAACTGTTTTCAATTGACTGAATCCCAACTTGATATCCGAAGATCGATGACCAGGGTCGGACCATTCCAAATACTATTCTTAACAAATGATTTTTTTTGTCCTCTCGTTTCCAAGGCTTCGTATTGATTAATCCGGACCGACCCACATCGCACACCTGACTTTGGTAGCAGGGATTTTCTGTATACACAAGAACTCCAACTTGATATCTTGCTTAAGCAATATTAAGCTATTTAACTAATGATATTAAATTACGCTACCGATTGAGTCATTGATGTTACATGACCAATTAGTTTCATTTTCGACCCTTAAATAATATTTAATTTGCATTCAAATTGTACAAACCAATTTATCTTAGTGATTAAAAGAATTGTTATTGTTCCTAGACGTCACGAGTTCAAATACGAACAGTTACAAAAGTGATTGAGTATTTATTATCAAATGATTGATAATACTTAAAACAAATGCTAGTTTGTAATCACTTTTATCTTTAATAATAAAAGAAATTGCATTCAAATTTTCTACTGTTGTTTTTCTTTTCACTTGGGGCAAAAGAACCAAGCGACCTCATCCCACCATTTAATGCTCCTCCACCTCCTTTCTAAATCTTTCTTTAGTCCAAAATAGCGATTTCTTCCTAGCACTCTGGTGGGATGAAATCTTAAATTTAATTTTAAAAGCATATGAAATTTTTATTTAGTTCAAACTTTTTTTTGGAAAGATAAATAAATTAAGATACTGTCTATATAAAAAATGCACTAAATGATTTTTTTTATAAAATTAAGTAATAATAAATTACTAGTTAAATAATTCTTCAATTAGTGTTTATAGATAAATCTAAGAAAGAAGAGTGATGCAATGCGTGTTTGATTGGTTCACTAATGAAAACTTTAATTATTGTTGGGTTGGGAAAATAAGACAAAAGTTTCTTTTTTTTGAAAGAAAGAAAAAGGAAAAAGATAGAGATAATACATGTCCAGTCAAAGTCTCATTCATATTGTGTTGATCAAGTACCCCACATGACGCACAAATGAGTTGTGTAGGTCCTTTATTGCTGACGCCATTGTGTTGTCTTCTTAATTACTACCAATATTCTAAAATAATAATTATTATTATTTTAAGACCATATCTATAAAGTATAAAATATAATGTGGTGGGTGATTGGAATCAGATACTTGTAACTTTTGAATAATATCATATGACAAGACTTACTGTTAGTTAAGGCAATATGTCAACGATGAGCAAACCTATCATGGTGATTTTGGGAATATAGCATTGAGGTAAATCATGCTGCTATGATTTGGTGTGCTCTGCATTAGCTCGACGTACAATTTAATGTGTATTTTAATAAGGAATTTAAACTCTGGTTATATATAAGAAATTTGTTTCTTGCCGACACCTTTTAAATTGATAGGACGGCAAAGTAAAGTCGATGAAAGAAGATTAGACAAGATTAAAGAAAGAATACAGAGATATATAAAGTTAAAAAATTATTATCTGAAATATTAATATTTTTTTAATATTTTTAATAAAATGTTATTTAAAATGTTATTCTTTCTATTAAAAATATTAATTTTGGACATTACCTAAAATGATATTTTTTCTATTAAAAATATTAATATCGGAAATATTCATTTTAGATAGTGAAATTGATATTTTTGATAAAAAAATAATATTTTCGATAACACTCTACCGAAAATATTAAAAAATATATTAATATTACTAGTAATACTTTTTTTCAACCTTATATTAAACTACCGTATAATAAAACTACCTAAAAAATATATAAAAGTAAGAATCGAAAAACAACTAGAGATCTCCTTGGTATTGTAAACTATTGTGTGAGACCCTGTGATATAAATATACACATAGGGATGGGTATGAGTCGGTTTCAGTCGACCCGAATCAATCCAAAAATTTTGCATCATTCACCCGATCTGACCCGAAATTATATATCCTCCACTCATTCCGACCTTTTGAGATAAAATTTGAACTCGATCTGATCAGACCTAAAAATTTTTGCATCTTTCACATGACCCGATCTTTTGAGATAAAATCCGAACCCGATCCGACCCAAAACATTTTGCATCCTTCACCCGACCCGACTTGAAAATATATACCCTACACCCGACCCAAATCCGATTTGGCTTTTTGAAATAAAATCCGAAGCCGATCCGACCCGACCAAAAATAATAAAAAATATTATTTTTATTCAATAAAAACAATGATTTAATTGAAAAAAATAATATATTACAATTATCCCTAAATATATAAAATAAAATTATTTTTTCGAATCAAATATTTTTTACCTTAAATCTGAATCCAACATAATCTGATCATCTTTAAAAAAACACGACACAACCAGACCTAAACCCAACTTTTTTTAAAAAAATATGATCATATCAAATCGAATCTACTCAAAATCCATGATACCCATCCCTGTATACACCTCACATTCAACCTCATCTCATCGCATCGCACCTCCTCTTTTTCTTCTACAAATGGTGATGACACGCTCAAGTCGAAAAGTAGGGACAGTGGAAGCTGCCTGCCATTCGCACGTTGCCACGTCATCTTATAGGGTAGATTATTTTAAATTTAAATTTGTAACTTTGACAAAAATAATTAATAAAAAAACACGTCAAGGAAAGGTTACGTTGCTTCGGGGAATGAGCGACCTGTCTTGCCAAGTGCCACACTTCCAGGCAGGTGCGGCTTCTTTGAAAATACCCCTCATATTGTAATTATTTACTCAACTGCCCATTATTCTTTATATATATTTTTAAAAAAACTACACATTTAATACTTAAATCATCAGTTTTAATCCATTTTTATATCTAAATTTTTTATTTTTTTAAAAATAATATATAAAGTTAGCTTTTATTTCATTTTAATATCAAAACTTTAAAAAATTAACTGAAAAATTGATGTGATATTTTTAAAATTATTTTATTAATTTAAAATTATTTAATTAATTTTATTCAACTAATAAGGTGATGAAACATTAAGTCTTTGAATAAAATTAATTAAATAATAATTTACAAATTAAGAAAATAATTTTAAAAATATCACGTCAGCTCTGTCATTAAATTTTTAATGATGAGATACTAAAATAAAACAAAAATTAAACGTTAGACATTGTCAACACACCTTTTTCGTCCTACTAGAATTCAAACTCTCAAAAATATGATAGAATTCTGCTAGGATTCAACTCCTAAAATAGGATAGAATTTTGCTATGTTTTAAACTCCTAAAGATATGATCCACAAGCACTATAAATAACCATTGTAGCTCACTATTGTAACACACGATTAACAGAGGATTTACACACAAAACACATAGGAAAGCACGGAAAATACAAAGGTAAAGTTGTTGTAAACGATTCGAAAATGAAATAAAAGGTAGCATCTTTTTTTACATTGGTTCGTTCATTTCTCGCATGTGCACGTTATTTTTCTTGAGATTTGGTTCGAATAACCCAAAACGTGGGTTGCGCCGATGACTAAAAAAGGGTGGGATTTCGAAGTTTCGAACCTAGATCCACCCCGAGGCGTGTTCATTTTTTAAAATATTTAATTCTCCCCCCTAAATCATTTTTTCATACTTTATTATTCTTGTTATATATGCATATTACTTTCTATTAATTTTATTATATATGTATATATGTTTTTTTATTAGTGTTATTATATATATATATATATATATATATATTTCCTATTTTGCATGTATATATTACTTTTGATTTTTTTTTATTATTATTATTTTACTTATATATATATATATATATATATGCTTTTACTTTTTTATATATTTTACTCATTTATTTATCTATTTTTATATTTATCCTATATTTTATGTTTTTATATTCTTTTACTTGTTTTATTTATTTATTTGCATTATCATTTTATTTTTATTTAGTTGTTTGTTGTGCATATTAGTGTTATTGTTTTTATTTTATATATTCTATTCATTTTATATTTACTTTATTTCTTACTTAATCTCCTTATTTTATTTGTTTTACTTTATTTATCATTTATTCATCTCTTCTAACCCATAT